AGAAACATAGGTCTGCGCATTACAATACTCATGCTCAAATCATGCAGGGCATCATCCATCTGACCGCAGCAACTGTCCTGCCTTCAACAAACATTGTAAGCATGTGGGAAGTGGAACCACTTCTCTAAGTGTTGCAGGTAAACTAAGTTGCATGCCAGGCCAGTGCAATCCTCAGCCCAGTTCAATTAATCACAACCCAAAGCAAGCAGGAGCAGGTGTTCACATAAAATAAACAAGCTTGACACGCACGAGACAGCACAGGAACCAACAGACCTGTTCTACTGTGAAAACATGGAGATGCCAGCACAGAGAGGTGAGATGTTCACTAACCTGTCTATGGAAAACACTGATAAGCAGCTGAAGATCAAGATTGATACTGGAGCCTGATGTTATGTAATATCAAAAGGCATAAGGTCAATCTTGTAGCTTTTGGAGGACAGGTAATAGAGACTGTTGGTGTCACAGACATTAGTTTCATTTTAGATTCATACTCTGGCTGGTTTGAGATAGACTAACTCCCTAACACAACCAGTGCCACCTTAATAACCAAGCTAAAACGCCACTTTGCCACACAAGGAGCACCACAACAACTAATGAATGACAACACTACTTAATTTTAAAATGGAAAGTTCCAGGAATTTGCCAGTGAATGGAACTTCTGCCATGTCACCAGCAGCCCTTACCATCCCCGATCAAATGGCCTAGCAGAGAGGGCCATGCGTTCAGCCAAACAACTGCTGGAGAAATGTACACGTGATGGCATGGACATATACACAGCTCTGCTGAACCTACACAATGCACCAAGAGATGGACTGACGTCACCAGCTCACCGTCTGCTATCTCGGCGCACCAAGGCACTCATTCCCATGATCAAGGGTATGTACATCCCCAATTGCAAGGTAGAGACACGAGGTCAGGCAGCTCTAATGTAGGCCAGACAGAGGGGAAAAGCACACTATGACCGATCAGCCAGACCGCTGGTCTCATTGCACACAGGACAAACGGTACAAGTTCAAACACGCAGAGGATATGACACATTAGCAACAGTACTTGGAAGAGTGTGACAGCCTAACAGCTACCAGGTCCGGGATGCAGATGCTATGTATGTGAGGAACAAGCGTTAACTCCTCCAGATACCTGAATTTTCTTTGGCCACTGCAGAGCCCCCAACAGACACAAAGGCTGACATTGTTGACCCAGTAGTGGCGCAGGCAGACGAATCTGTGGTCATCACACGCTCGGGGAGAATATCGAAACCCGATACAAGGATTACACGGCTTAGTTTGAACCATTACACGCAAAAGTGTGCTCTAGTTGTTTACTGTTGTACTCTATGATCTGTTATTTTCCTCCTCTTGGAGATTTGCTAGTTCTGTTGGCATGTTGACATATTTCACCCTTCTTACATTTGTTAGGAGTTTATGCACATGGCACCCCCATGTTATTCAGTCTTCAAGAAGGGGGATGTAGATTGGTTACTGTTACCAAGACAACCATCCCTGTTTAGGATATGACGTCAGTGGCTAGAGCAGGCTGGGATACTGGAGGGGAAAGAACAAGCTGTGCGTACTGAATAAAGGATCCAGACTAGTTCTTACACAGCTCATGAGTGTTTGTGGTCTGTGTGTGCACATCTACAAGAAGGAAGTGAAGCAGGCTGTTTAGAAATTTCTAAACCGTTATGTAACAGTCTTAACCACGCCCCCAAATGTAACATCTGCTAGTCCACTTTCAAGCTCAATCGGCATGCAGGTTCTGCAGGTATTGTGAAGAACAACAGTGAAAATGGCAGGCTGCGTTCATAATTGTTCCGTTTGAGGATGTGACCAGGATGTCGGCATCTTTCACACCCTTCCCAAGGAACCGAACTGTCAACAGGCATCTTTAACAGGTAAGTCAGGGTTACGTTTCCCTAAGGCTCCCATTAACAACATAGTTGGAACCATTCAGTTGCATGGATTTAACTACATTAGCTGGTAATTACGGTGTTTTTGAGAAAATGTACCCCAGTTTTGCAAGGACCTGGTAAAAAAAACATTATGAATCTGTGATACTAACATTCACGAGGCTTCTGTACTTCCTGTAGCCTAATTTTGCATTAAAATTACGAAGTTATGCTGTAGTTTAAAAAAAAAGATGAAAGCAAAACTCTAAATTCATTACAAACAAAACACCTGCAAGCTGCCAAGCTTTCTCCTTGGAGTTATTGATAAAACTTGCACGAGGAAGCTAGCATTTGTTGTGTGACGTGAAAAATAATTTCAGTGTTCTTGCTACAATGCTGAGAGATGCTAAAACTGGACCTAGGCTGAAGTGGGACTATTACAGTTATGGGTGGAAAATTGGTTCTGTGTGAACCATCACAGTGCCTCACTGTAAACCAGCCAATCAGAGCAGAGCTCATGAACTTAAGAGCCCACCAAATATGGCCAAATTAAAGGATTATAAATGGGCCTGCAAAACCACATCTGGACATTTTTCGACCAAACCAAGTTCACATACCCTCTATGTAGACACCAGCTTGTTCAACAGCCAGGTCACACAGTTCACCTCAATTGCGCTTGCTGACTGTGTTTGGAATACCTGCGTGAAAGGTATTTATTTAAAGTCCCAAAATACACCATTGCTTTTTACACACAGCGTTTATTGGGTTATACAGTAACCATGTATTATAAGTGCATTATTAAAAATCGGTTTGCTGTGTCTCATTATCCTGATTGGTGCAGCTGCAGCTAGCAGAGTTAAGAGGCAGTGGTAATTAGAGGCAGCCTCAGTGTGCCAGGTGAGAAAGGACAGGCTCCACGTATCACTTCAGTTTGGGGTGAACATTTAGGTGTGGTTTAGCTTTATTTTACATTTTATTCATAGGATGGTATTTAGAAAGTATGTAGGGTGGATGTATGCTTTTGTTTGGTGAAAAGCATTGGCATACTTTTCAGTTTTCTAGAGCTACTGCCAGCAGTAGTTTTCATTCATTATTTGCAGTTAGCTGCTGCCGCTGGCATCTCAGGCTAAATGCATGTGTTCAGAGATCTGAGGTGGTTTCAGCTCAGTAGGGAGGGACTTCCATCCTCCCAGCATGTACATGTCTTTGGAGGGCCTAGTGAGAACTCAGCCAATTCTCCCTTAGAGAGGCTGGTGTGAGTTGGTCACTCCTACCTACAGGCTTGTGTTTAGATGACATTAGAGTCAGATGCTGCTACCACCATAAACACAGGATAGCTATCAGGTGTCATTAGGAAAACGTACGGCTTGAAATAAATGTTCGTAATGTGCAATTGGTATAGGCAATAGCACTGCAATCTCATGAATAAATGGAAAGATTCACATTAATATTGTGAGAGGTCCTAACTGGGGGGTAGTGGAGGTGCTAACCTGCTGTAGTCTGAGCTTATTTTCACAAGAATGGGCCCAGGAGACACGACAACGCTGCCTTTTTGTGGGTTTGTGCATAATATGGTTCCACGGCGAATCTGTGCTGCCATTTAGGACGTAGTGCTGTGATTTAGGTTAGTATTTCCCAAGCTGGTCTTCAGGGAGCCCCAGACAGCCCATGTTTGTGCTCCCTCCCAGCTCCCAGAGTGTTTCCCAGTGCTGAGTTAAGTGGCTTCTGGCATGTCCTGCCTGGGAAACCTGCTTCCTTCTGACACCAGCAGGTGTTTCATTGGTACTGTGGCCAGCATTAAAGCTGTCATTTGTGATGGTGAAACACCCATGTCTGACATTAATCCAAGTCCCCTCAGAGCTTGTGGTTAAAAGCTTCTGCCATTTTGATGAAGTTTGGTGGGATCCACTGCTCGGTACTGATCGAGACGACCGAGGCTGTAGACAAACGGGGACAAAAGTTTGGGTCCCGTCGCCACAATTAACATGCAACAGTTACTAACATTAAATGTGACATACACTCCAGATATCGCAAAAACCTCATTACTTGTTGCAAACTTTAAAATATACCTTGGGGGTATCCTCAGGAGGGCAGCAGTCATCGAATCCTCTGTAGTGTCATTGGGGTCTTCATGCGTGAAGTGAATGCTCTCCCGTTCTCCCCTCTATGCATTGGGCTGCTTTTATCAGCCATACTTCAGTGAGCATAAAGCATAGAGTCATTTATTGTGGGGCTTTTAACAATCGAGAATCGGTGGAAATTGATTACATGCAAAGCTCAGCACCTGGTACATTATAGCACATCTCTCGTTGACTGTGCTATGTCAGAGATGAGCAGTATTCAGTGCACCATGTATTCATGAAAACCCCCCCCCCCCCCATATAATGGCTGCCTGTCCCATGATGACATACGCCACCTTCTGTGTTCTGGACTGCCCTGCCTGCAGCCCAGGTACTTTCTGCATTTGGGGGTTTGTTGTCATTTTGATGATTCGTATTTGTGCCCGGCACACAGGTCCTCAGGAGACCCTGGCTGAGCCGCTGTTTTCCTGCCCGCAAACATTAATTGGGAGTTCAGTTGCTTGTCAGCGCACGCAGCGTCTGGGGCCTGGGAGGCTGATTAAGATGTATTATCCAAAGCACAGTGGTGACTCTTGAGGCTGGGAGTGACCTCCTGTGGTGCAGACTGTCTGACAGTGCAGCTGGGGGGGCCAGACAAACCCACCAAGATGCCCCCCCCCCCCAACACACACAGAAACCTGAAAAAAAAAGAACTTTCCCTTACATTGTCCCTACTCCCCCCAACTCTCTGGCTGTGTTTTCATCTCTTAATATCTGCAGATGTGCTGAAGAATTTCTTCTTTTCTCCAAAAAGTTACCAACTTGTTGGATGGCTAGATGAACACCGCTTTGGTTCCCAAACCTCTCCTCAGGGGCACCTCAGCCATTCCATGGTGTGAATATCAAGACATTCTGGACAGTTCTCTGCTTCCAACTTTGTGGGAACAGTTTGGGGAAGACCCTTTTCTGTTCCCACAGGACGGTGCCCCAGTGCACAAAGCAAGACCCATAAAGACATGTTTGCGTGAGTTTGGTGTGGAAGAACTTGACTGGCCGCACAGAGCCCGGACCTCAACTCCATTAAACACCTTTGGGGTGAACTGGAACAGAGACCACGAGCCAGGCCTTCACGTCCAACATCAGTGCCTGACATCAAAAACAAAAAGTCATTATTCAACATCATTTTAAGGGTATATGCAGGGATTGACGTAACTGGTAGGCAAGAACACGCATTCACCTTTAAAAACGTTTCATGCAGCAATCGATTGTTACGTATTTTATGTGCATTTGCGCCGATATGACAAGAAATTACCGCGCATATTAACCTCTATACCACAAATGAAGTATGAATTAGCATATAAAAGTTAGAATATACGATCATTGCTTGTCATATCGGTGCAGATGCACATAAAATACATACACATTCACGCTGTTTAACAATCGATTGCAGCATGTATTGCTTTATAAAGGTGAATGCGTACTTGCGTGCCAGTTGTCAATCCCTGGGTATACGCAAGTACAAAGAACTAGGATGCTGGGAGTCCACACGCTACGCTGCTGCGCGGTGGGAATAGCGACCAGAAGTCGTACTAGGTGGACTTGGCGCGCAGAACAAAATCAGATGTTGCGGACAGGAAACGGGAGCCCAACGAACATAATTTGGACTTACAGTCCTCTTCGTTCGTATGTCTGAAAGTTCGTAAGTAGAGGAGCGTCTGTACTGTAAACATTTAGCACACAAACATGTCCGAAGCCAAAAGATCAAAAATGTATCATTTTCATTCAGAGGGGAGGAGGATTATTTTTTTGATTACTCAAATTCAAAGTCCATATGTCTTATATGCGAGCGTGGCTTTACTGAAGGGCAATTTGGAGCAGCATTTTAAAACGATGCACAAAAGCTAGGAGACTAGGAGTTCTCTGCTAAAACAGTCATATGCAGCCGAAAAGTTGAACTGAAAAGTCAGTTAGCAGCGTAGCAGTCAGTTTTTACCTGCTGCATCTTCCCAGTGCCAGTGGTCCCACTAAGGTAGAGAAATACATTTATTTATACTTTTTCAATTTGGAGAATCACCTGGATTTGTCTGGATTTGCTGTGTGCAGGTTAACTTTGTAGAAAGGCAATTGCTAGAGTAATAATAAAGTAAAAGAGTAATAGCTATGGTGCCCTATTTGAACTGGTAAATCTCAGCACACTGGCCACTTGAAAAGTAGATCTTGAGTTAAAAAAAAGGTTGGGCACCCCCGGTGTAGATGTTAATGTTTGGCTCATTTAAGACCCAACAATAATGTGGATCAGTGCTTTGGTCCTCAGCTGGTACTCTGACACCCTCTGAAGAAGCTTTTAAATTAATCAGAAGCTGGAATGCAAACACTTTAGTTTAAAAATTGTCATCTGTTTATTTTCAACTGTTATGAATCTCTCTTTTAGTGTAAGTACAATGCAAAAATACACTTTTAATATTGGTCATTAACTTCGAATTTTATTCAGCATGTTCACGCCAAGATATAGCTGACCTTTTTCTTTAAAGTTATTGGTTACTTGGCCAAAAAATGATCACAAAAAAGTCTGTGTTGATAGCCAGTCATGTTTCTCAATCTTTATTTCTGAGTCTGATAAATTGCTTCTAAATAACTGAAGATTTCACAGAGCTGAGAAAATGACACTTTGTTCATTCATTTATCCAGGGTAATTGGTCTGACCAACCAGCTGTAGAGTGGAGTTAGAGCAGGAGTATGGGCAGATAATCCTCTGAAATTTTAACTTTAGAATCCATCACAAGGATTGCAGAAGCCAATTCACTAAAATCTCAGCCATTACGAAGAGCTAAACCTATCGATCTTCCATGGCGTCACCTTGAAAGTAAAACGGAGGTTGATAACGCGCAGTCGCAGTCTGGTTGCTAGGTCTCCTCCCATGAACACCCATCTTTCATGGCTCATTCTGTTCGCATTTCAAGGTGTGAAGGCATCTGCAGGTCGGCTGCTTGGAGCTCAGCTTAGCTGTTATATGAGTAAGCATGCGGTTCAATGAAAAGGTCTCCTTCTCCAAACCTGGTCTGTGGGTGTGAGTCGAAGCTCATTCCCTGCAGAACCCACTGTGAAGCAGGCGCAGTTTTTCAGCTGAAGGGCCCAGGTCATGCTGTATAACTCTTTGGACTATAAGGCTGGTCCTGAGGGGGTGATTCTTCTTTACACTGGCTTTTATTCCTACTAATTATGACAGATGTGTGCTGTGATCCCTTACGAAAATTAACCATGGTTTAACTATGATTAAATAACCATGGTTTACAATGTTTTTCATGGTTTTTTGGGTAACTATGGAAACCATGACTATGGTTTTATCATGGTTTCGCTACAGTTAAACCCTAGTATAATCTTGGTCATAAACCATGGTTTTTGTTTTACCATGGTCTTTACCATGGTAGTACTATGGGTAGTACCAAAATACCATGAGATACCATAGTAAAACTATGGTTACTGCATAAAAACCATAGGAAACCATAATGAATTTCCCTAAGGGATGCCAGGGAACCCTTTATTTGTAATCACAGATTGTCTCAATTGGTGTAAGACAGTAATGTTTCTATCCTCTCCCCTGTGTTACAGCAGCCCAGCCATGGGCAGCTGAGGCACTTACTAACCCAAAGTATCCGGCTTTGATCCAGGCAAGGCAGAGTCTCAGGCGCCCGTTACCACGTTTCCCCAAGCTCATGCAGAATATAGAGATCTGTATGGCCGTCTGTCATCTGAATGGGGGGCCAGGTTACAGTGCATCCATCCATCCATCCATCTAACATAACAGTCTATCCACTATATGAGACTAGGTCATGTCCCAGGAAGCGTGGGCAAAACCAGAGCGGATTAGCTTAACTGGGGGCCTTAGACTGGCATCAGCACTGAGACTCAGGTGTTTCTGTTTTAACTAGCTTGCTGGGGCTCTGGGCTATAGTTTGGGATAGCATATGTAATAGCCTATGTATTAGTCCATTTGTGGGCACATGGCAGGGTCCATTCTGCATGGAACGCCAGTCCATTGGAGGGCCCATCCTGCATGGGACGCCAGTCCACTGGAGGGCCCATCCTGCATGGGACGCCAGTCTGTTGCAGGACACACATAACTTCAAATCGGATCAGAGGTCCTCCAGCCCTTCAGCTCCCCTTGCTGTTTCTCTTGCGAGTGTAGAGGGTTAATCCATAGCAGGTCCCACCTGCAGCCATGCTGGAGGAAATGGAGCTGGTAATAAGCTCTGTCACGGAGTCTGGAAGCCCAGTACGAGTGCTGAGAGAGCCAGGGGAAACCCCTTATGAATCTGGCACAGAATGAGCCAAGCTGTGAGTACACAGCAGTTTGATTTATTTATTTTTTTCATCAGACCAACAACACAGTGTCACTCCCTGGGAAGAAGGTGTTCATGTAATGCACCTCCCAGACAGGAGTGGTGTATCCCAGTCTCCCATGTTTCTGTGAAACTATGCCTTTAGGGGGGCACCATGTCCCCAAGCTGTCCTCGCTTCTGTGAATGACCGTGCCGTCCGGGGGGCACCATGTCCCCAAGCTGTCTGCGTTTCTGTGAATGACCGTGCCGTCCGGAGGGCACCATGTCCCCAAGCTGTCCTCGTTTCTGTGAATGACGATGTACCAGACCTGGTTCCACATGGCTGCTGCGAATAGAGGCAGGTACATGGCTATAAAAAGGGGTGGTGTATCTTTTAAAGGAATGTGCAGATGGTGAATTCCGGTTACAGTCTATCTGATTTTATGCAAATGCTCTACATCTAAAATGACACCGCAGAAAACCAATAATCCCTGTGAAAAAGCAGCCGGCCTAGACGGAGTCTCAGGTCGCGTTTTTAAAACATGTTGCGACCAGCTAGCTGCTGTCTTTAAACACGTCTCTGAGAGTTTCATCTGTCCCCACCTGCTTCAAGCACACAGCCATCATCCCTGTCCCAAAGAGAATGAAAGTAGACTCCTTAATGATTACTGCCCAGTAGCACTTACTCCCATAGCCATGAAGTGCTTCGAGAGGCTGGTGGTAGAACACATGAAGGACATCATCCCTGACAGTCTGGACCCCTTCCAGTTTGCCTATCGTAGCAATAGGTCCACAGAGGATGCCATCTCCATAACACTCCATACCACCCTGTCCCATCTGGAAAACAAGAACTGTTATGCCAGGCTGTTTGTGGACTACAGCTCCGCATTTAACACCGTCATTCCATCCCAGCTCATCAGTAAACTCCTGGATCTGGGGCTTAGCTGTTCACTGTGCAACTGGGTACTGGATTTCCTCACTGGCAGACCTCAGCAAGTGCGTATTGGTGGAAAAACCTCCTCCATCATCACCATCAACACTTGCACCCCGCAGGGCAGTGTGCTGAGCCCCCTGCTTTACTCTCTCTACACCCATGACTGTGTAGCTAAGTACAGCTCCAACACCATCCTTCAGTTTGCTGACGATACCACTGTAATAGGTCTGATCAGCGAGGACAATGAGACGGCCTACTGAGAGGAGGTCAGACTCCTGGCAGAATGGTGTCAGGACAACAACCTCACCCTCAACGTTAACAAAACTACGGAGATGATTGTGGATTTCAGCAAACAGGCAACAGAGCACAGCCTCATCTACATCGGAGGTGAGGCTGTGGAGCAGGTCAGCAGCTTCAGGTTCCTCGGAGTCACCCTCACTGTTGACCTTAAATGGTCAAGTCACACTGCGGCAATAGTCAAGAAAGCCCACCAAGGCCTGTACTTCCTCAGGAGACTGAGGAAAGCCCGGATGTCCCCCACAACCCTGTGCAGATTCTACAGGTGTACTGTGGAATCCATCCTGACAGGACACATCACATCCTGGTACAGCAGCTGCTCTGTTCAGGACAACAGCTCTGCAGCGTGTGGTGACCTCAGCACAGAAGATCACGGGCACACAGCTCACTGTGATCCATGACATCCACACTACACGCTGTCTCAGGGAGGTGACTGTATCAGGCGGGAACCCAGCCACCCTGCACTGTCACTTTTCACCCTCCTACCATCTGGGAAGCGACTGAAGTCCATTCGGATGCACACCTCCAGGTTCAGGAACAGATTCTACCCAACTGCAATCAGACTCATGAACAATCAGTAACCTGTGTCACCTCCACTGCTACCCGCACATATACGTCTGCCACTGTCTCTATTTATCCCTAGGATTCTGGTCTTATTTATTCACTTATTTATATTCACTTCATCATTACATAAACTTATTTAATGTGTTTTTTTTTTTGTCGTCTTGTATATGTTCACTCTCTGCAGGGGACATGCAAGTAAGCATTTCATTGTACATGGTAATCGTACTTGTACATATGACAATAAAAGAACTGAATTTAATTGAATTGAATTGAATGTCAATTTTTAGTCTTCTGATTGAATGGTAACTCTAACACCAGTCTATGATGACCTGTCCTTCTGGGAGCTCAGCAAATAAAAAGGCAGCTTGATGAATCTTTAACAGCAGAAGGAAGATTGAGGTCATGTTACAGGTTCTTACAGTGAGATGAAGACCTCAGAAGATCCACCCACACATCCACCCTCCATACTTAGCCAACAGTGGGTCATGGACAAAATGCATTGCTGAATGAAAACTGAACTTTAAATATACAAATAATACCTTAAATAAGAGCTTTTATTGTAAAAGAGAATAATGTTAAAATATTTAACATGTGAATGTCCATTTAAAACAAAGTGCTCAGTTAAAAAATACTGTAAATAACAAGGAAACAATGTTAACACCCAGTTCATTTTTGTTTAGAATCCATTTTAATATTTGAAATGAACCATAAACAGCACAAGAAAACATTCTCATTTTAGTTACAAAACAGGCTGATCTAAAAGGCCGTACCATTGCATTCACAAAGCAATTTGAACAAAATATGCCTAAGATATTAGTGACTTTGAAATTCCCCACCCAAAACACATATAATCGTTGATCCATTGTATATACAGGGCATCCTTAAGAATTATCTAGAAATTTTGAGGTATATGACCAGAAATAAAAAAAAAACCAAATCAATTAAAATTAAATATTATTGCCATGATTGCTTAAAACAAAGAATAATGCAAAGTCAGTGGAAAGATATTTTTGTGCGCTGGTGGAAACCGCCCAGTTCAATTAGCCCGACAATCTAATGGCTTTGCACAGAGAATATATACAATGGAGACGGAGATGGAAATCGGAAACCGTGGGCTGTCTGAGCCCTTGTTTAATTAATCAGCTTCATTAAAGAGGTACGTCGTGTTTGCTGGCAACATGGGTTTATTTAATTTTTTCTGATACCAACATTTAAGGCCCAATTGCAGTTTTGAAACACATGCAAGTTTTGAAAGTGGATTCAGAAGTAACCATATTGTACAAAATAATAATAATTACACGTATGGAAACACACCATTTAGCACCTGGATCGATGAAAGCACCTCCGCAGCTCCTGCTTTCTTGCAGCACCGTGGGAATCCACTAGGGGGCGGTCTGTGTTGCACCTTCTCTCTGCTCTCCGCCACAGAATTAAATGTCCTTCACATTTATCCGTACAAGGGTTAAGTCATGTGACTGGGGCCCTACAAGGGCGACGGCTGTTTCCTAGGTAACGCGTACGGCGAGGGCGTGTTCGCTGCACGGGTCCCATTCAGAACTTGCATGTGGCACGGTGGTGGGCGGGGGCCGGGTTGCCTGCCCGCTGGTCTGTCCCTCCCTCTGGCTTCACCCGAGGAAGCAGACTGGACCAACCTCGAACCCAAACTTCTGGCTCGGATCCCCAAAGTCACTGAGCAGCACATCGACGATGGGCACCTGGTCGATTTTGGGGGTGTTGATCTCCAGGACCGTTTTCCCATAGCCGCTCCTCGCCTGCAAAAAAAAAAAAAAGTAGCATCACAGAAAACAGCAATAATGACGGCTTAACATTACTCCTAAGGGGATCCCATCACCGACTAGCCAGTAATAAATAACAAACCTGTTGCTTTAAGGCTGATTTCAGTGGAATCAGAGTATCAAACTAAAACTGACGGACAGAAGCCATCTGCAGATTGTTTGGTGACGGAAATGACTAGAAATGTTACAATATTCCAGCTGGCCAGACAAAAGGAAGCCAGAAACTGGGTGAGCCAGCAGTTGCAAACTGAGAGGTTGGGTAATTGATATGGATACTGGTTTCAGCTTTACTTGGAGGACCTATGACCCAATGTTCAGATTTCATATGATGTAAACAGACACAGGGTCTCCACACCCTTGCAGCTGCCACACCTTCATAAAGCCCCCCCCCCATCCTCCCCAAACAGCCCCACCTTGTACAGGGTCCGGGCATTCACAAACACGTACCGCACAGCCGTCTGCGAGCACACTGATGTAGGGACTGTTGTCGTAGGATATCTCCTCGTCATTTGACCCCAGGAACCTCAGTGCTTTGTCGTAGCTGTCCGACGTGGCGTCGTGCCAGGCCACTGACTGGTGGCAGTGGTAGGTGAAGTTCTGCTTGGCTGAAGCCGTCAGGAGCTTCAGGAACGTCATCTGGACCATGTTTATTGGGTTGCCCTCAACATCCTCATATGACAGCTGTTGTGAAAAAATGAAAAAGTTCAATTATGATGCATGACAGCATTAAGGTTTAACTAAGGTAAAAATAATGCAACATCATAATGAAAACCCATGGTTGGTTGGTGATAGGAATAAACCTCAAGGTCTTTGGAGACCATGGCACACCTGGACATAGAGCAGAATGTGAAGAAGCAGCTAAAATGCTGCTTGACTGCTGATTTGCATATGCAGCACTGCTGTCAGTGTGTCAGAAGATGGCAGCTAGCAGGAGGACTGAGCAATTAGCAGCAGCCCCGAGGAACTAACAGGAGGCCCATGGAATAAGCAGGAGGCCTGAGGAACTAGCAGCAGTCCTGAGGGACTAACAGGAGGCCCGAGGAAATAGTAGGAGGCCTGAGGAACTAGCAGGAAGCCCAAGGAACTAGTAGGAGGCCTGAGGAACTAGCAGGAGGCCCAAGGAACTAGTAGGAGGCCTGAGGAACTAGCAGGAGGCCCAAGGAACTAGTAGGAGGCCTGAGGAACTAGCAGGAGGTCTGAGGAGAGTTTGGGTTTTAGATAGATGTAGGACCGACGGGGAGTGTGATGCTCACCAATTTACCACGTTTAAATTCACTGAACCAGGACCCTGGAACTTCTTTTGGCCACGAAGATATTCTGACCTGTTGCAAAGGAAAAACGATCCAATGAAGAACCGATTTATATAGAAACACTTCCAAAATGAGAAAATATGTATTTTCAACCGACATTATAGTGTGGTTTTATGTAATCTTAAACTGCGAAATCAAACCATGATTTACAACCCACATTCATTCAGGTGAAAGAAAACACATACTCATATGTAATAATGGAAACCGACACATTATGAAGTCAGTGTATGTTGCAGTGCTTAATGTAAGCTGGATGCCTTCGAATGTGTTCGCTGTGAATCGATCTCACTCACGCCTGAGGATCTCTTATCTGGGTAGATGCAGGTCTCACCACCAGCCGTGAAGTTGCAGAACACTTTGAAGGAATCTCCTGCACAGCCCTGATTTGGGTCGATCCAGTACTCCCCTAACAGAGCCAAAAGACAGGACTCCAATGCGTGAATAAAGCGAAATACCCTTTCTGACTAATGAGCCAACACACGACTGGTAACATTATAGTATGGGGCCCATGAGGAGATGTTGGGTATGTGGAGCAGAAACTGCAAAATGCACATAAAAAAAACAAGTTAAAATGAAAGTTTAATCTACCAACACGGCAATGAATATCAAATAACATGGAAAAGTGCTGTGTCAGTGCTCTTTGAAGGAGAGGCTCATACATTCTAAATTTCCCATTTAAAAAGTGTTTCCCCTACATCCATCCCAAGATGTCACAAGACTGCGACCCATGTACCGTCAGGGAAGTCGGGGTGGCAGAGCTGCAGGTCCTTGCAGGTTCTGGCTGGGTTCCCCTGCGTGCCCATTGGGTATTTCATGCGCTCGATGTCCTGCTTGAGGTTGTTCAGTGACGTAAAGATGTCCTGCATGCCCTCGCTGTAGTCCATCATGCTCTCGGCCTCGTCTGCCTGAGTGTCCGGTGACCGTCTTGTCTTCTTCGGGGACTGGATGGGCAGGGGTTGGATGATTTCACCAGGAGGACCCTGCGTGGGGAAATGGGGAACGTTATTCACACATGCTGCAGTGGAGACATTTTTTCTGCCAGAGATGTTAAAACTGACCCCTTATTGGCTGACCAATGAGGAAGACATTCCCAGGTGTTTCATTTTCTGATTTTTTTCCTAATATCATTCGCCGTTCATTTACAGATTCATCGGACTCTTTATTTGTCCAGCTGATAGAGCTGAACTCAACGTCAAACCCAAAGGTAATGAAGGACGATCCAGCGGATGACTTACAGGGGGACCAGGTGGCCCAATCATGCCGGAATCCCCTTTCTGTCCAACAGGCCCCTAGATGTGGAGAGGAAGACAATTTATTCCCAACTCCCCATATTCTCCACATGGTGATGCAGCTGGCTTTGGGCAAACCGAAGGCACCGATGAACTCACCGAGGAGCCCTTGGCACCCTTGGGACCATGAGGACCCTGAAGAAAGCAGAGAGGAATGGATGTTAGTATTGGGTACAGGGGGGATTCTGGTGCTTCCTTGTTAACGAAGTAAAAAAAGTGGATCCCATACAGGCAGACCGGGGGGTCCGGGGGGTCCGACTGGACCGGAGGCTCCGGTGACACCCTGTGAACCAAAGAGAATATGGAGCCAGTTAGACGGCAGCTGGGGAAACGGGCCAGACCTCTGCCAGCGCCGTGGGGACTTAAAGGGCCCGAAAGGGGCTAGAATTTATCTTCATGAAAAATAAATGAAGAGTTCGGTTTGTACAGCTGTAGCTGTTTCTTTTTTTCCTTTGATATGATAATTTATCTGAACTGTTTCTGCGCTGTTATTCAAAAGCAAAAGGAGACTTTTTGGTTCAAGCATTTATCACTGGAAATATTATTCTAAATGACACAAGTGAATTATTCATTAGGTCCATCTGACTTGTAATACCTGAAATTCCCAGTGAGAGGCAGTAGAGAGATGGGCATGTCAAAGTGCTCTACTGTAAATGTGAAGCTTCCTGATGCACATATGGTTACCACAGCGACTGCGTGATGGAGGCATTAAGGAACACTTACGAAGTCGCCCTTGTTACCGGGGGTGCCCTGTGGTCCCGGCTGCCCCCGGTCTCCCTTCTCGCCCTGCTCTCCAGGCGGACCAATCAGGCCTATGAGACCGGGGTGACCCTGGGGTGGGGGGAGGGGCATGCAGGGGGTTAGAAGGAGCTCATCAGGCCTATCCGACATTAGAGGGTGAAATTACGGATATTAAAGGAGGGAGTCTGTTCTCGTGCATCTATTAATCTGTACCAAATCAGGCACCGAGCCGCCGGACAGGTCGCACTCTGTCCACACATACCGGCTACAGTGCTCTCATCGGCATCCCAGATAGCCCTTCAAAGTGCCCCCTATCTGCAAGGCTTGCTTTGAGCTGATGTGTGGGTCTCATGAATACAAACCACAAACACAAAGGAAGACTGGACAGGAGGATAGTTACCTTTTCACCTTTAGAGCCCCAATCGCCCTTCAGTCCTGGCAGACCGGGAGGCCCCTGTATGCGAGAGAAAAGGCAGACAGGTGAAGCTGTGTGTACAGGCCCGGTTTACGAATCCGTACAGCCTGCCGAGAAAGAGGGCTCCCTTACCAGGGGTCCGGGGGGGCCGTCCTGGCCCGGGGATCCAGGAAGTCCCTGCTCGCCCTGCAAACATCAGATCCAACACATCTCATTTTTTGTGACCTTTCAGTCATCTCAGAAGTTTTTGGCACTTTTGTAAATGTCATGAATTTTGAGGCCAGTGATGAACTCACCACAGGCCCTGGGATGCCACGCAGGCCCTCAGGACCAGGCTTTCCAGGGGGCCCCTGGGGGCCCACAGGCCCGGTTTTGCCTGGAGGACCCTCTACACCAGGTTCCCCCTATGGCAGGAAAAACATAAAATTTCAAACAGTGTTGTTACCTCATTCTAGACCTTGTGTTATTCCTGTGTAAAATGCATCATTTAAGTGAAAATCACTTTTAAAGACTTTACATTATATAAGGCGAAAAAAACTGTGTGTTTGTCAGACTCTAGAAATACTTCCTTTTTCAAAGAAAATGGGGAAATCCCAAGTTCATAGATTCAAAGGTTCAAAGCTTTCTATCTGACATTTTAAGGTTCTGCCCACTACAGATGAGAGAGATCAGTGGCAATTATGCAGTAAAAAACCACACGGCACTGTACAAGCAGGTGGTGCCTCAGAAAACAGTACAGAGCTTCATGGGTACTGGGATTTTTTTAAGGACAAAACATTCCATTACGGCTTTTTATACATGTGCCTGCTTAACTGCACACAACTTAACAAGTGCCCAGTTAACAAGCTTAGTAGAAGATTCCTGTAACTTAATTTGAAATTCCAGTGGGAGTAGTATCTGTAAAACATATGCCCTATAATCTGGAACTATATTTTCTTTGGAAAAATTACCTGTCTGGTACAATTTTTAAGGGTTTTCTCTTTAAAAATGACAGTGTAAGGGAGGCAAAGCACTGTTATCCTAAATCTGTAAAACATGCAGCATCCAAAAATTAACATATATTCGATTTTGGGGATAATTAAGTGTAATGTGACTTGTCACACTGGGTTTCAGCAGAGGACTGTATGAGTGTGTGAGGCAGCCGGGGGTGGGGGTGGGGATGGGGGGGCAGCATTGATTCCCGTTACCTTCGCACCCTTCTCTCCCTGTCGGCCCTCAGCACCAGCAGCTCCCAGGGGCCCCTAAGGACACAGGAGAAAGAGCCCGCTTTCATGCAGCCTGCACAGCTCGGGGCTGCACACGAGCAGCTTACAATGCCAATACAGTATATCTCTCTGATGTACTGCAGTCATTCAACATTAGCTGTATAACATAATGATAATTAATGCCACTCTGATGCATTGTTTTATTTCACGCACGAACCACACACACACACACAGTTGGTTTACCTATCTAAATGGGGACCGTCCATTCATTTCTATGGGAAAAACCCCAATCCCAATCATGACACCCTTAACCCCTACCCATCCCTAACCTTAACCATAAGTAACCAACCCAAATACAAGACTTTTGGCATTTTTACTCTTTTGATTGCATTCATAGATTTTTATAAAACTGAGGTTATCCAAATGGGGACCTCAAAAGTTGTCCCCAAAAGTAGGGAAATTTCAGGTTTTACTACACTTTGGGGACAATTTGGTCCTCAAATGTGATCTATGCAAACCCACACACACACACACACACACACACACACAGGTTTGTAATGATATCTTTGTGGAGGCTGCTCATCCATTTCTTTGGGAAAAACGTCAACCCGGCCCTAACCATAACCATTATTTACCAATCAAAATGCAAGTGTCTTTGCAAGTGTGCGTTTTTTGATTGCAGTCACAGATTTTTAGAAAATCAAGTAAAAAAAGAACAGACATTCATCATTTGGTCCCCACAAGGTAAGGTATTTCCAGACCACACACATACACACACACACAGACAAATGCATGTGAGCAGGATCGCATCATGATGCACACAAAGCGACAGTGAGTAGAGCTGTCAGAATCGGCATGTTCCTCTGGCTGTAACCTGGCACCAAGCTCACAAGCTGCACCTTCTGCCCCAACTGCAGGCCCCACCGGCCCGTGTTAGGGGCCTTGCGATTCGGCTCATTCTCACGGCCGTGGTCGTCCAGCTCCACTACATTCCACACTGATCATGTGACATGCCCTCACTGGAACCGCATCTCTGGAGTCCTCAGACCCTCGTAGTGAGCTGGAAATAGGTATTAGCGCCTCCATGTGGCGGATGCGTTACATGCTGGTGTGAGGAACATGGTGTCCTCCACTAAGATTCGCCATCGGCAGCCCCGTGCTCCTTTGTGATCCAAAGTTTGGTCAGAAGATGAAAAGGCTCAGGTTCATAGCACGAGAGGCCTCTACTGAAACTCCTTTTAACTTTTCACCACCTGTCTCATGTGACCTAGACGCCTTCACATACACATGGCACGCTGAGAGACATGAGCCTCGTGCAGATTACAACTGAATGAATATGCGAGAGAAAATGGGGATTCTTACCTGAAATGTGAAACGGCTTCTTATCAGTGTGTTTGTCTCAGTGGAACAGAAAGCAGATCACAGTCTATCTCAGAACTTCAAGAAAGGAGCAGGGAGACTCCAAACACAGCTACTTAATAATGCTTCCATTTACAATGTTTACTTTCACCCAGATAAGCAACAATTTCATCTCACTCCACTAGATAAGCGTTTCTCTCGGAATTCACTATTAGCCACAGAATCATGGAAGCAGCAGCTCCCAGAGCGAGGACACCATCTGCACTTCCCCTCCTGATCAGTACAGGGCCGCTCTTCTGCCTTGGCTCATCTGCCTTCCACGGACGCTTAGATGGGTGCTCTCTTTGGAAGCCGCCTCTGTCTAAATTTGGCAGCATCTTCCACCCGAATGCAGCGAATGGACCCGGAGCACAGACTGAGCACACATTCTCTACCATATATTTATTTCTGTGTCACTGAGACAAAGTGCCTGGAGAAGTTACCCACTGTAATCCATATACCATATTCGGGCATATTAAACCAGAATAAGGTGAACATGAAAGACGTACAGTGCGCACATCAGTTTATAGCAGAGGAATTGGACAGAGATCCCTGGTCATTAGACGATTAAAGGGAAGGTCCCATCTGCACGAACGAATCACGGGGCTTCATCAAATATTCACCAGTATCATTCTCCATGTGACCAAGAACCAGCGCAGCTGCAAAAAGCAGCATGGGTGAGTGTGTGCAACAGTGCAATGCATATTTTCTGTTTTATTTCACAGCATATTTTTAAAATGTGCTTCCTGCAGCAGTATTACTATTGCAATGCAGCCGTGTGTGTAACAAATAAGAATGTATTCTAATGCCCAATTAAACGGATGGACGCTTCATTACTTCCGAATGCATCACAGTGTAACACTGAAGGCACTGCCGTGGTCTGCGGATCCTCATGCAGACATGTGAATAATGTGTGATGATGTACACACATTTTTGGCTGCTGGATGTAGAGAATAAATACGCTAATAGTCTCGAAGGAGCCTGTATATGAAACAGAGGGGATCATCTGCCTCACGAACAGACAGACAGACGCACAATGACCATGGAAATGATGAAGATCACCATAATCACCGCCATAATCATAATCATCATCATCGTCATCGTCATCATCGGCACACTTAAAAATCTGGGCCCCCTGACAAAATGTCAGCTCGCCCCTCCCACTCAATTTTACATATAAGTGAACCTATTTAAGGGCTCCTGTCAAGTGCCGGACACTCCCGGACATTTGGGGTATCCATGCCCCTCTGACACCCCATCATCATCATCACCATCATCATCACCATCATCATCACACAACACTCACTCTCTTGCCCGGTGACCCAGGTGGTCCAGCTTCTCCAGAAGGACCAGGAGGACCCTGCAAACACAATGATGGCAATTTAACTTTGTGCGGCGTCCATTGTCAGTGTCTGATTATAGAAACACGCATGTACTGAACCAAACAGCCTCATTACAATCTATCCAGAACCACTTATGTGGTAACTCTTTTATTACCATGAGGGCTGGGATTATGGAAGGTGGATGGTACATGTATCATGCAAAGGGACAAACTTACAGGCTGACCAGGTTCACCATCCTCTCCCTTGTCTCCAGAAAGACCATCGATCCCCTGAAATACATCAGCGTGGATAAGGAGCATCATTAAGGGCCCATTTCATTATGCTATGTTACGCGGTGTGCTTAGTGAAGGCGGATGTCTGTCGGACTGTAAATATAATCCCTGTCAGTGATTTATTTCTTATTATATGACCCACCACACATGATCTATTTAAACATACTTTCAAGGCCCAGTTCAGAATGAAGACTATGATCAATTATCCAGGCACAGTGCAGTATTAATAAGTGAGCAAACTTCATCGCCCTATACTCTGCCTCTGACTATGGTACTTACAGCAACGCCCGGTTCACCGGGGGGGCCGGGGTCTCCGGGAAATCCCACAGGACCCTAAGAGTTAAAAGAAAGACTGTCAGTGATAAAGAGAAACAACGAGATAATGGGAACCTCCACATCCCCATGACAACCTTAAACAGGGACACTCACTGGGTTGCCCTTGGGGCCGTCATCTCCAGGGGGACCCTTGGTGCCGGGGGGCCCAGAAGCACCAGGGGGGCCAGCCTCGCCCTTTTCCCCTCGCTCACCTTTGGGGCCCTGCAAAGAACCCAAGTATCAGCACCCATGTGGGATGGGATGCAGGGATGACTATGTGTGCTTTAAAATCATCATCATCATCACCACCATCCTCATCACCACTTTCATCACCACCATCATCATCATTGTCACCATCATCATCATTGTCATCACCATCATCACCCCACCATCATCATCATTGTCACCATCATCATCACCCCACCATCATCATTACCATCACCATCATCATCATTGTCATTGTCACCATCATCATCATTGTCCCCATCATCATCGTTACCATCATCATCATTGTCATTGTCATCACCATCATCGTCATCACCATCATTGTCATTGTCACCATAATCATCATCATTATCATCACCCCACCATCATCATTGTTACCATCACCATCATCATCATTGTCATCACCATCATCATTATTGTCATTGTCATTGTCATCACCATCATCATCATGTGGTGAAAGCCCAGGATACATCAAGAATAGGGCTGAACGATTTGGGGAAAATATCTAATAGCGATTTTTCTGACAGACACTGCGATTACGATTTGTTTTGCGATATAATTTTTTATGTCAAGCTTCAGTTCAATATTCAGTGTGTAGTAAATTTAAAATGCAGCATTACCACATTAGATACCATCAAATATTAAGTGGTCTATATTCTAATGCAAGGATGAGAATTTAAAGTTAAAGTAATAATGAAAACAATTGCAGCAGAAGAAAAACAATAGCAATCTTGCAGCTAATGCTGATTACCCTCCTAATAACACTAGAACCACCTTTTCCCAGGCCAATGAACAAGTAAGAACTACTTCAGCGTATGCAGCCCCACGGCGCTAATGTGTCATTAGTGTTAATAACAGCAGTGAATCTAACACTCTCAACCGAAAAGCCGCAATGTTCATAACAGAGTGGCTGTTCTGTCCTGAAACCGTAAAGCTGGAAACTTTTAAACGTAGTATGCATTTTAATAAATGTCGAATAAATAGAAGGAGTTTATTGGTGATTTCATGTTGGTCGAAGTTTCCACTCTTGTGTATAACTGTATACAGTTATTTTCTATACAAATCAATTCAGGTGAAACAAAAAAAAAATGTACGTGTTCAGGGTTGCAAACTCTTTCAGACTCTCACGCAAGAAATCTTACGGCAAATCTATATTATTCCATTCTGAACTTAAAATTAACTGCATCAAAAACGTTACGGCAGTTTGCAAACCCTACAGACTATTTACAAGGTAATAAAACATATACATTACATACATATAAATGTGCGTGCAGAACAGAGAACAGAAAATCTGACTTCATGCAGCTGACCAAAGTTGGCAACCTTGAATTTTATTTGAAATGAGAAGTAAAATGCAGTTTTTGACTGAAGCGCCTTATCATTCCTTTGCCTTGTTACTCGGACAAATACAAAACGAATGAATAAACATTATATGCGTCTCTTTTTGTATCTTTTCTAAATAATAAGACCGCGTGCCCATACCCAACTGTAATAGCGATTAACGCGATCTATTCTTTTAGTATTTATGTTAAAGCGAGGCTTTGATTTTATTACTGTTGTGGGATTAAGATTAATTTCACACGATTAATCTTTGGAAACACTTAAATTAATAAGCACAAAAACATATGACATAAACACGGGTTTTATGGCTTTTTTGGAGGTCACCGACTCCGCTGCTGTGAGAATTACTGAATGTCTCGTTGTTTTGATGGGTTAGCGGTATGCTAATGCTATTGCCTATTAACAAAAACAAAAGGTATGATACATTGAAGTATGTCGCTGCTGGTGTTTAAAAGGAGGTCGCCGGTTCTATTGATGATAGGCCCTTTCTGAAACAATCTCGGACCATGAAATAGGAAGGCAATTCACTTATAGCTCAGTAGTGGAATCAGTATTTTTTCCACACTGTGAATGCAACATTTTCCTTGGGAAGCACGGCACTTGATATTGGTGAGAATGGTTGTCACACAAGGAGCACGGCATGAATTTGTAAAATTATTCTCACAACAGTTTTAAACCTTAGGTCCAACATGCTGTATAATCTTAAATCCCAGCCTTTGAAATTTGTTAATCACGTTGTTTCAAATCGCGATTTCGAATTCAAATCGATAAATCGTCCAGCCCTAATCAAGAAGCACAACAGTGACCATGCTCACAATCAGCCCAGGGGAACTGCAGACGTATTGATCGGAATAAATCTCTGAGAGCCCAATTTTGGACTGTGCTGAACAGCACACGTGTCTCTTGATCATCTCCTCCAGTATTATCTAGGAGCTTCCGGGCTGATTGTCAGGCTGTAGAGGAGTTTGAGTCCACCTGAGAACACTATCGCCTTGAGTACCTACTCGAACCTGGTGCCAGTCTCAGGTTACAGAGTTGCCGACAACAGCGGCTCTTCAACAACAAGGACTCTTCACAGAAAGAAGACGGCTGATTGTGACACTCACCGGAATGCCGGCCTCTCCGGGGGGTCCGGGGTTACCTGCTTCTCCTTGCTCGCCCTGTGAGAAGTCACACTGGTTACCATGGCAACTTAGCACATCGCTACACAACAGTGATGGACACGTCTGGAGGAAACATAGGGCTCTGCCCTGCCGTGCCCAAGGCCGTCAGACGAGGCTGCAGGGATATTAATAACGTGCCGGAACATGATGCAAGCCGTTAGCCTTTAGCCACGGTGGGGGGGGGGGCCCTTAAGGGTCACTGCTGCTCACCTTCTCTCCCACGGCTCCCACCGCACCCACACCTCCGGGGGGACCTTGAGAGCCCTGTCACACATTACATCACGGAGACAACAATAAGCCATGAACATTTCATCACCCCAATTCTGCTGCACTAAACAACAGAATGAAACACTGGGCCTGTATCCGCAGCGGATCATCTGATCTTCTGCTTAACTGTAAAGCCCAGTGTCTGCTGCTGTGTGCAGCTCGGGGGTTGGTGCTGGACTCTAAAAGGTGTGAAGATTACACTCCAGGCCCAGAGATAGCAATCTTTCTGCGTTTCTACTCGTAATGGTGTACAAGTGCAGCCGAGACACTGACGTCAGCTCCACTGGGTCCTTGTGGTCCTCTTGGGCCTGGCGGTCCCGGTGGCCCCTGCGAAGAATCAATGGGGAGGTAGATCAGGTGAGGCCCGGAGGCGAGGCGTGAGGCTGCACCCCAGAACCCAGCACCAGGACTGTGCGATCAAAGCCTGTCCCTCCACTCACCATTGGTCCAACATCTCCGTGCTCTCCCTTCTCACCCGAAGGTCCAGGAAGACCCTGATATGGAGACAGCGCATTATTATTACAGCTGATGCTGAGGAAGCTGCAGTGAAGAGCGCAACGCATAGGTACTGGGATCATCACATTAAAGTGAGCCAGTTTATGCACATTGACTAACTGGACATCATTAGATATTGTAACGTTATATGTAATAACGTTATACGTAACTATAGAAATCTTCTGAATAATTCTCAATATTATCAATAACACCACGAAACGATATTTTTGAAGACGGAAGCGAAATGGCCTCGATCAGACCGAATGAAAGATCGGAATGACACCAGTAACAATTTGGCTCTTAAGACGAAGCAGATTTGATGTGGCGTCACCTGGAGAATGACCCAGCTTCAGGACCCTTGCAGAAAGTTGCTTCTCTGTCCTCAAAGTTCTCCTTATCGCTTTTCCGCCATGTGAGTGAAAAACCAGGGCTGGCTGCATTCTATACGCTTCTGCTTTGAAATCTATGGCTAATTAACCTGCATATTCTCAGTCGGCGATTTGAAGAATGACAACAACGGAGAAGTAAAATGAAACCATCCAAACCTATAACTCTGACACGATTTACGTTTACTGCTGAGTATACATTCTGGATAATATTACATTTATACAGAGACACCCAGTGTGTGTGACAATACGGACACATCTTCACGCCTTAAGGAGACTTTGGGAGACTAAGCCCAGCAAACCACCCCGACCTATCATCAACAGAACCCGCAGGAAATGGACCAAGGGCGAGAGAGCTGCTGGAGGCCGAGGCAACTACGTGATAAAAGAGTGAATGATTTAGCTTCTTTTCTGACTGTGGAGATGAATTCCAGGGAGATTACCATCATAAACAGTGGGCAAAGGACACAGCCCTAAAAAAGGTGGGAATATTCATGGACAGCCATGAAAGGGCACGATGAAGGGACATAAAATATATGAAGGGACATAAAATAATTGTTAATGCCAATGACAGATATAGTAACTTATTCTTCATTGAACATAGACGGAATCCCTTAAAGCTTATAGAAACACACGCCGTACACCAACACGAGACACTCCCACCGACTTCAGGCATGTGAGGAGATGCCATGACACATGTCAGGATGACTTGGGCCTTTAACACGCAGCTCGGGGGACCTACCTGCAGTCCGATGGGCCCTGGGGGGCCCGGGAAACCTCTGGGCCCCTCATCTCCCTTCTGTCCAAACATACCCTGCTGGCCCCTGGGGCCAGGCTCTCCATCGGCACCCTGGGACACAGGTGACACCGTCAGAGTCGTGGAAGCATGATTAACGACAAACCCTGGCCTGATTCATTAATTGGTTCCTTTACACGCTGTACAGGTGTGGGGTTACGCCTTTTGTAATGCACCAGCACATTAAAAACATGTGACTGCCTGGTGTGAGTCCTTGTCCAGCCAGTGTAGTGTGAGTCACTGCACTGGCTGGGCTAGGAGACAGCAGCCTCTGGTCGTGACTGCCCGCAGGGGTTTTGGGGGGGGGGGATGATGAGACCGTGGCTACTCACAGCGGGTCCAGGAGCACCGACAGGACCCTGGAGACCTGCTGGGCCAGGAGGACCCTGGGGAAGGAGAAGATGGGAGGACATGGAGAAAGAGGAGAGGTCAGTGATTAATGCAGAGCAACAAGCGCGACCTGACAGCACAGCACACAGACAGGAATAGGTCACTGACACCAGGAAATACGTGAGCTGCCAGAGCGGCCAGTCAATCAAGGGCTGGGGCAGGCTGACATAACGAGAACAATTAGCACAATATCGTAAATAAACACTGCTGGGAATAGTGAGGAGGAGCGCTCGGCTGGTAGCTTTATCAAATGTGATTTAAAAGCCATTTCCTTAATTACTTTCAAAATATTTTTATTCTAGGAAATGTATCCTGGTAAGTCCCATCCAGAACGGAACCAGAATGATTACAGACAGACTCACTTGTTCACCCTTGTCCGCTTTGCTTCCCTTTTGCCCTGGTTCTCCGACTTCTCCCTAAAATACATGGTAGAAAGTGTAATCTCCATATGGACAGCATTGCTGGGATTCAGGGCCTGTCACAAACCAGAGTGACAGCGCAAAGCCAGCTGCCATATTCCAGCTTGTGAACATGACATCAGATGCACACACACGTCAGTCCGTGTGATTTTGTGTGGTTCATTAAGTCCCTGAACACCGCAGAGGGAATGCTGCACCTCCCCATGCCTGAGTGAGGATGTGATGTAGTAACCAGTCATCACCAGTAGGGGGGGGGGGGGGGGGGGGGGCAATGAGGCTCACTTTGTCTCCATCCTCTCCAGGTGGGCCCTGAGGTCCTGGGGGGCCGGGGAGTCCGACTGGGCCCTGAATTCCGTCCCGGCCGGCTGGTCCTTGTGGACCTTTCTCGCCCTATGGAGGAATGTCAGAGAAATGGCAGCAAAACAGACAGTGAGGAGAATAGCCATACATATTTTTACAGTGAGACGGCCTGACATCGACTATGCTGCAGTTAACTATGCTGCTGGTGCCGTGCTGGAAACCACTAATGCTGGGTGGCATGGAAATCACTTCTATTTCTTGAAGCTTCACTACAATTTGAAGTACTGTCGTTCCCAGCCCATGAATCTGACTGTGAGACTGAGCTGAAACCCGTTTGCAGTCGGTGACCACACATCAGTCCCCTCGACTCCTCATCCATCGACATTAGCATAAAACGATAAACAAAAGTTGCCTCTAACTGTTCGATAGTGTCGAAAAGTAATTAAGGTCCATAATTAAATGACCCATGTAGCCAATCATCTATGTTGGTTGAGAAACTTGATTTACTGAATTTGTGCCCAAAGGAGCGGCTTCCGCATGTATTGGACCTCATCACATTGCACTGCTGGTCAGAACCTACTGGGGTGCCCTTCTCTCCAGCCGGGCCCGGGGGTCCCTGGGGTCCCGTCCGACCTGAAAGTCCAATGGGCCCTGCGGGACCGGAAGCACCTCTCTCTCCGGGAGACCCCTACGGCAGCAGGAAAGGAAAAGGAGAGAAAGAACGATAATACTGAGAGAGAGAATAATAAATATATAAGGCTGACAGACATGCTACTCCGAGGCTCCTGCTACATACTGATGCCCCTGATTACATTCACAGGCAGCTTTCATGCATTATTGAAGAATACCCGTCTTTTCAAAAGGCTCCTTTCTCAGATAATGCCCTGCGAAGTACCTCCTCCTCATGGCAAACGACGTCGTGACTGACAATCAGCTCCTCTAGAGTGTGTCCTCTAATGACACCAGCAGGTACATTCCTCCATTTAAACCAAAGTCCGTCTTGTTCGTACTTTTTAGACATGCATGTGGGTGAGAATATCCCAGTGAGCACTATCTGCAGTATGCACTGCTGGTCAATTACAGATAATGGCACAATGCTTAAAATGCATGATTTGGATACAAATTGTAATTCTCCAGCTACTGTATGTCTGTAGGAGGCAACGTAACCCAAGTGATGGCGGGGAAAATCAGTACTGCTGCTGACTGTTAGCGGCCTTAGCCTGTCCCCTAACCTTCTACCACATGGGGCCACATGTTCTGCCACTGGTGCAGTTAAGGCATGAGAGAAATTCTCATTGGCTAATGGCATGCTCATGCTGACCTCCCACCACATGGGGCAGTATTTTCTGCAAAAGGTGAGGTTAATGGTATGAGAGGGATTCTCATTGGCTAACGGCATGCTCATGCTGACCTCCCACCACATGGGGCAGTATTTTCTGCCACAGGTGAGGTTAATGGTATGAGAGGGATTCTCATTGGCTAACGGCATGCTCGTGCTGACCTCCCACCACATGGGGCAGTATTTTCTGCCAAAGGTGAGGTTAATGGTATGAGAGGGATTCTCATTGGCTAACCGCATGCTCGTGCTGACCTCCCACCACATGGGGCAGTATTCTCTGTCACAGGTGCGGCTAATGGCATGAGACGGATTCTCATTGGCTAACGGCATGCTCGTGCTGACCTCCCACCACATGGGGCAGTATTCTCTGCCACAGGTGCGGTTAATGGTATGAGAGGGATTCTCATTGGCTAACGGCATGCTCGTGCTGACCTCCCACCACATGGGGCAGTATTCTCTACCACAGGTGAGGTTAATGGTATGAGAGGGATTCTCATTGGCTAACGGCATGCTCGTGCTGACCTCCCACCACATGGGGCAGTATTCTCTGCCACAGGTGAGGTTAATGGCATGAGACGGATTCTCGCTGGCTAACGGCATGCTCATGCTGATCTGCCCTCGTACGTAAACGTGGTGGATTTGTGAAGGTGCTAGCAGTGGTGAATGCCACTAGCAGACTGAACGTTTATAATGGCACATGTTTGACGACAGTAAAAGAAAAGTGGCTAAACCATTAGCAGTCCATTAAATAATTTATTCAGTTCATTATCAACTGCACTGTTAAACTTAATGTTGATGTAAGGCATTTAAAAGCTCCCCATCTAGGATTTTACTTTCCTTGCTAATAAATTACAAGCAGACATATCTGCTGCTGAAAAAGAACTCAAACCATTAAAAGTCGACTGCCATTATAATGCTAAAAAAGCCTCCCAGACATTGCGACTCTCTGTCACATTTAATCTTCCTTGGCAGTTACAGAAGGTGAAATGTCATGAGACAGTAATTACCAAGCAGATACCTCTTCATCCACACTTTATGACTTTAAGATGGAAAACTGCCCTCTAGTGCTTAAAATTGGCGTTGCAGGCTGCAGTAATTAATTAACCAAGGAAACTCCCAGCAATGGCGCAATGGGAGCTCTGTAATGTCTGTCTGAAGACCAACAATTTTCCACAGTCCTGTGATCTACAGCACTTCTGTACATTGTGGTGATGTGGCCTGTTTTATGCAGGATAAAGGTACTTACGACTGGCCCTGGTGGCCCCTGGGGGCCCTCTCCTCCTTTCAAGCCAGGTGGACCCTGAAACAAGAGCCAGTGTTAGATGTGGGGAGTTTGGGCGGGAAGGGGGGATACTGGGGGGTGGGGTGTCCTTTCTGCTGCTCGCAGGCTGTGCCCAGTGTGCTGTCAGATGTACTTCTCGTGTGTATCGGGGATGGCAGGCCTTCCCAGGCCTTCTGCCATTGTTCTGCTTCTCAGTGCTGATCCACCTTTAAGAGAATCCTCAGGGTATAATTATCATAACTGTCAGAGCACAGTGGCTGCGGTGCCCCCGCCGGTAAAAGCTGGAAGGTAAAGGGTTTTGTCAAGTGGAGCGTCTGACTGTTGATGAAAAACAGGCTCTTTAATATTAATGCGAGGAACCATCAAATAAAAAAGGACCCATCCATGAAGAAGACACGTCTGTGCAGGACAGAGCCGCTTCAATTGGCTATGGGCCGCTGAACTCTTATTACCCCAGAATAAAAAGCATGTTTGTTTAACCCAGATTCGTCTGCAGTGGGATGCAGAGCAGGTCATTAGATGCCCGTGGTTGGCAGTGCACACACACACACACACACACACACACACACACAAACACTCACACAAACACGTACGCACATACACGCACACACACATGCATGCACACACATAAACACACACAGACACATACACGCACACACAGATGCACACACACACACTCACAGCGGCCAAAGTGTTCTGGAATATGTGTGCGGGACAGCTGCTCCTGAATCACACTGCATCAAAGCGAGCCGTGAGTGCTCACTCCTGAAACACTACAGATAGGCCTGCAGTATAACAGCTGGAATGTAGGGGGCGGTGGTGCACCTGTGCTCCAGGCAGGCCTCGCTCCCCAGGGAATCCTCTGAGGCCAGGGGGGCCATCCTTTCCAGAAGTCCCAGGAGGACCAGGGTCTCCCTGTGATGAAGAAACATGGAGCATGAGAGGGGGAGGCGTGTTCCTGTGTGTGCTGAGCTTGTACGAAGGGGGCTGCTTCATGGGTGTATCTGTGCCCCATTTAATTTAATAACAGGTATGCACCAGTAATCGCCATTATGATGAAGGAAACTCGATTCTCTCATAACAGCAACAGCAGAGACCTGCTTACTGTCCACCACAGGGCTATCTTTATCACAGGGCCTCTTTAACAACCAGTTTATCAACTATGTTTTATTGTGGCATGACAGCTGTAGTCACTGGATCGATTCCGTCACCATTATCACTGCATTTATGGGGAGGAATGTTCCGGCCAGCTTGCTGGCTCCTCGCCGAACGACAAAGCGTAGTAACCTTAAATCTAGAGCGCCACTGCCTCGCCTCGCCTCTCCTCCCGCCAGCATTCTGGCTGGCATCAGGAATGGTGGATGAGCCAGCAAAAGCCAGCCAAACAGAAATGAGCCATGCTGCATCAGTGGGGTATAGCCTGGTCAAATGGGGGCAGCAGATGAGGGATCGAGGGGCCCTATAGCGGCTGGTGTGAATGGGTGAGCAGTCACTCTCCTTCACCAGGAGTGTGGCAGGCTGAAGGCAGATGATCACTACTGTCTGACATATTTAGCATCCATAAACGACCTCTGCCTTTTGAGGCGCCCTCTACTGTCTGACTGTAGGAACTGCTTAGCGTTTTTAGGACTAGACGGCTCTTCCATGGCATATGTTTACACAGATTACAGGGCTGATTACGGCCTCAGAGGGACATGGTAATCATGGTTTGTCGTAGGGGTCGTCTTACCTTGGCTCCCTCTTTCCCTCCGGCCCCAGGAAGGCCCTGCTCGCCTGGGGGGCCGGGAGGCCCTGGGTGTCCTCTCTCTCCGTTGGGGCCCGTCTCCCCGGTGGGTCCCTGTTGTGTGTCAAAATAAGCGTTTATCACTGTGATGAGCACAGCTGGTCCTGTGTGCTGCGGATCCTGTGAGCACTGGCAGGTGGCGCTGTGGACTACATCTTTCAACAGAACAGTTAAAAAAAATGTTCTGATATCTTAATGCTGGGCAGCAGCTCAGTGGGTTTTGGCATCTCTGCCTGGAGATGGATGGATGGAATGGGTGCTGAAGGGGTGGTGATGAAGTGGCGACTGCTTCAGGACATTTTGGAGCACCAGGAGAACACACCTGCGGGCCAACGACACCTCCCGGGCCCGGTGGGCCGGTCTTTCCTTGGAAGCCCTGAGAGGTGAAAGTGACACAGCGATGCTGTTAAGACTGAACAGAAACATGAGCGCAGAACCGGCGCCAGTCCGGGGGTGGGGGGTGATGCTCACCGTCTCTCCACGCTGCCCGGGGTGACCAGGCAGCCCGTCCTTCCCGGGGGGGCCCTGCGAGCACGGGGGGGAAGCAGAGTGAGACACAAGAAATGTGGGCATCGCAAATCCCGGTGCCACCCCAACCCAAGATCGCCCCGCCATTTAAACATGAAGTTAACAACACCTTCTGGAGCGGGGCGGCAGTGTTTAAGCCTTTTAAATTAAACATTATATACTCAGGCTGGAGTAAATAAATAATTTCGTTTAGTTAAGTAATAATAATATAGGATTTATAGCAGTTAGAGAAAAATATCAGTAAACACAATGACTATTGTTTGAGGTTTGTACTGATTTAAATGCTACCTTTCATGTCTAATGAATTTAAATGAACTTTAAATGATTTGTATCACATGTATAAAGCGACATCCCCTTTTGCATATCTGCTAAATGTATCAAAGGATCTAGAGAACCTGAAAATACTCACAGAGGGGCCTTTTGGCCCCGGGAATCCCACAGGGCCCTGGGGTCCTTGGGGTCCCTAAAACATGTGACAGCCAATCAGAAACAAGGAAGCTGACACCTCAGAAAGCCACAATACGAAAACATCCCATCTGGTCCATGCTACACCTTGGTAAATCAGACTGTGCCAGCTGGACTGAAACAGGAAGTCAAGGGAGTTGCCAGGACCCATGGGAAATCATGAGGAATCATGGGGAAAAGGCTTGTCCTTCTACTTTAAATAAATCCAAAAACTGGCTGGAGGGTAGACACTAATTTTTATTATGGTAATTATGGCAATTAATCTTTATCCACTAACACTCATTCTCAAATAAGGCTTTTATGAAACACTGCAGTAAAAATGAAAAGAACAAATTAAATTATCCATAAACAAAATTTTCAGGCAGATCTGATCTAATGCAGTGGAATGATTGCTGAAGGACATCACTATTTCCTCAGCCGGTTTGGTTTTTAATAATAAGCATTAATTAACCAATAAATTAACTGCGCTATAAATGCACTGCATAACTTTAAATATAAAAACAGTAAAAATTGAATTAAAAAACGCTACTACACGGCAAACAATCATTAGCCAAACGTGTCGTGATGAAAGGCGCTAATAGATTCCAATTTTCCTTCATTACTTTCACACACTGACAGAGGTATGAGGAATGTGGATATTTCACAGAGGATAAGAAGATTCATAAGCCGATTCATCTCTTGTCTCTTTGTCTCTTGATTGATTATGACCCCAGATGTATGTTGTAACTCTTGGTGACCCCAGACCCCAGGTATGTGCTCCAACAATAAATCTTCGCAGGGAAATCAATCTGGATGTTACACTGTCTCTCACCTGCAACTAGGAGACACTGACCTCTGAATTACAGGGTTCAAGTGCTCGCATTCCATAATGCCAAACATTTTCGGCTTTGGTCATGGAAGTCTTGTGTACAGATTTCGTCAGTAGTTAAAAATGTAACCTAAAATATTGAGCAATAGACCAAATCAAACCAATAACACGCACAGAGATTTACAAAGGAGAGTCAAGGCTGACGTTACCCAGACGTGATGGCACAGGCTGTAGTGTTTTCATTCGTCTCCATGGTTACACTGTTTTAACCAGTGTGACGCAGCTGCGACAGGCTGGTTTTTAAAGCTATGGGGGGTTATCGTGTTGTTGGATTTAAAACTGGAGGATCAAACGCCCGTGTGTCTGGCAGTGCCAGACAGATCCCCCCCCCAATCAGGATTTCATGCTGCATCAGTGTGCTCAATGCTGCCCCCTGCTGGCTGGACTTACTCTTTCACCGAGAGGACCTGGTGGACCGTCGTTGCCAGAGGTGCCCTGAACGGAGACACAAAACACAGTGAGGTTGATGGTCAGATTCTGGGGGGACTTGGATGGGGATGGACAGGGCCCTGGGGATGTTGTTTGCTACCTTTGGGCCTGATTTTCCGGTTGGGCCTCTGGCACCTCGAGCACCACGTGGACCCTAAGAGTGCAGAGATATAAGGGTAATCCCAGCTTCAGGATTAATTCCCAATAGGCAAAGCCAGGAGCTGAACCTTCAGTAAATCTCCATCTTTATAAGTAACATTGTAAGCTGCAGAAAGACAGTATTGTTGGACCATCGTAGGGTTCAGAACATCTTAGACTACAGAAACTGAGATAAAGACGGTAAATAACACAGTACCGTTGGACCTCTTTGCCCACCGGGACCAGGTTTGCCAGCCACACCCTTTCAGAGAAAGAAACAAAAATGTTAGAGTCAATCACCTGTCCATTAGACGGACAGTGTATATAATTAACGAGGGGGGGGGGGGCTGCTGGTCTCAGGTGTCACAGGGCTTAATAACCCACCCTTACATTTGATAAAAAGTGTGAAACGGCTTAAACAGTGGCTGAAAAGATAGAGCATCTCCATAAACAAACATACTATCTTCTTTGGTGAAGAGCTCTCCACACCCACCAATTTTTCACAACTTTTCACACTTAAAGATAATAAAAACACACATTATATGGTACATAATAACACATTTTAGATTATGGGAGTGCTTGAGTTGTTTGGTACTTTTAGCCAAGGCTGTATAAGATAAGAAATACAGTACATCATACAGAATTTTCCACAAATTAGACAAAACATTTTCATAATATGCAACCTGTACACAATTAAGTGTACTTTTCAACACATGGCAAATCAAACTGTCACCACATTACATTCTTCAGGCAGAAAATTATCCTTTAGTATGATTAAACTGAGCTTGGATGTCTCCCTAAAGCACTTGCAGTCACTGAGGCATAGACAATGCCTCCCATGTGATGCGTAAACACAGTGCTAGCCCACTGCTCTGTGTTTAATTTAAGCGATCAAAGCCCTTCTTCTTCAAGAGCTGGAGCAGCTTTGTGAGGAGCCTGCTGTGGAACTTTGAGCAGGTTCTTAACGTGACTCTGCAGCATTATGGTGTATCAGCGCTCGGTGTGACGCCACTCTTACCCGGCCTCCTTTCTCTCCGTTGGCTCCCGGGAATCCAGGGAAACCGCTGGAACCCTAAAGGGTGACATATTCCGAGTTTGGACACGATTATTGCTTGTATCCTGGTGGAAACAGGAAGCAATCATACTAATATGTGATAAGGAGTCTCAATCCCAAAATGGATGATGGTCTGAGCAGAGATGAGGATGAGGAGGAAAGGCCAGAGGAACCAGAGAGGTTGCCCCTCATAGCCCAAACGTTCTTCTGTAGATGTTCCAATGAACATCTCACAGACACAAAGCAGGTAAGCAATGTGACTGGAATCCAAAGAATCCCTCTCTGGCATTAAACCTGTTCTCTGAGTCAACAGCAAGGTGATTAATCCTGTAATCAACCTGATGGGGTTGACGGGTGGAGTTTCACTTCTTCGCCATCTTACCTTGGGCCCCTGTCTTCCTGGGAATCCAGGTAATCCGGGGACGCCCAGTTTTCCCTGAAGGACACACAGAGGTTGCTGTCAGAGGGAGCTTCTTCCTCCAATAACAGAAATGAGATGTTACCGGTGCTCAGTGGACGTGGAGGCTGAGGATGACACCAGCGCACCTTCTCTCCCGCAGGGCCAATGGGACCCGACTCTCCGTTGGGGCCCAATCGTCCTTTGGGGCCCTCAGGTCCGTCCTCACCACGGGAGCCGAGGATGCCGGCTTCGCCCTGCAGACGTGGGGTTGGTGAGATCGCAGTGACGGTTACGCGTACGGAGGCAGCGGCGGCAGTGTCAGCGTGTTAGGGGACGGTCCGGTACGCACCCTGTCACCCTTCAGGCCCATGTCACCCTTAAAGCCAGGAAAGCCGTCTTCACCCTGCGACCAAAGTGGCCTCTTAATGCATTTACACACACACACGCAGTTTGGATTTTCCAAAACATTTCCAAATCACTATATTTGGTCTAAGTATCATGTAATGATGAAAAAAACGAAATGCAGAATGCTCTTTGTTTGTCATAATAAAGTGACAAAATATCAGGTTTAAATAAACTCCCAACGACAAGCAGCAATGTTGTTGCAACATATGAACTTGATATGAAGCATTTAATGTGCATATCATGTGAGCTTGAGTGTTAATACCATGAAAGAGGACTTACAGCAATATTTCCAATAAAATATCCACAGATAAAATCAAGCAGGTATTTCTGTCTTCACGTGTTTGTGTCCATGTTTCCGCTATACGACTGCACTTCAGTTTTAACGTATTTTTAAGAGTCCGTCGTCTTTACCTTCTCTCCCTTGCTGCCCTTGAGCCCGCGGACACCGTCAGCTCCCTGTAGGAAGAGATCACGGTATGAAAGGACAGAACAGCTCGGGTTCGAGCCGCTCCACAGGGGTGGTGGTTACTGAACCTTCACTCCGCGTGGCCCGGGGTATCCGATGGGGCCCTGGGGCCCAGGCTGGCCCTGGAAAGAAAATAAGAACACGGTCACATGCCACTAAGCTGTGGCAATGGGGAGAGCCAGAACATGTGTGAGTAAAGTGCAGTCTAAGAGCAGCAAGATTTACATGCACAGTTACACACAGCAGACACACTGTCACACAGTTACACACATCACACACTGTCACACACACTGCACATACTGTCATACAGTTACACACATCACACACTGTCACACACACCACACACACTGTCATACAGTTACACACATCACACACTGTTACCCACAGCAGACACACTGCCACACAGTTACACACATCAAACACTGTCACACACACCGCACATACTGTCATACAGTTACACACATCACACACTGTTTCCCACAGCAGACACACTGTCACACAGTTACACACAGCAGACACACTGTCACACAGATCACACACTGTCACACACAGCAGACACACTGTCAGACACAGCAGACACAGTCACACAGTTACACACATCACACACTGTCACACACACCGCACATACTGTCATACAGTTACACACATCACACACTGTTTCCCACAGCAGACACACTGTCACACACACCGCACATACTGTCATACAGTTACACACATCACACACTGTTTCCCACAGCAGACACACTGCCACACAGTTACACACATCACACACTGTCACACACACCGCACATACTGTCATACAGTTACACACATCACACACTGTCACACACAGCAGACACACTGTCAGACACAGCAGACACAGTCACACAGTTACACACATCACACACTGTTACCCACACCACACATTCTGTCACTCAGTTACACACGTCACACACCGTCACACGCAGCAGACACACTGTCACAAAGTTACACACGTCACACACTCACACACAGCAGACACACTGTCACACAGTTACACACATCATACACTGTTACGCACAATACACAGTTAAACACATTACATATTGTTACACAATTACACATATCACACAGTTTTACACACATCACACACTCTTACACACTTTACATACTTACCAACGCTCCTTTCTCTCCAGGGGGGCCTTCCTTCCCAGGGTGACCCTGTTAAAAGCATGGCTTACTTAAAAAATGTCTTACAAAAAATGCTTCTAACTTGATAACTCACTAACTGCTATAACAAAGTCCATTTCCACATTTGGAGAGGTGAGAGGTATTCTGATCAAGGTGTAAACATAGACACATTATGGAATGTGCTGGAAATATCATTAGCAGTTAGCGATCGGTGATTGACCGCACTGGGATGTTTCTGAAAAGCCCGAGTGACACAGGACCACGGTGGTCTACAGTTGCTGAGTTACATCAGGGTGTACTTACAGGGGGTCCATCAGAACCAGGCAGGCCAGGCAAACCCGAGCGGCCCAGAGGTCCCTGGGAAAGGAGAAGCGGCATTGGTCAGAGGTCAGAACAACAGGGACAGTGTCTGAGTGTGCAAACGGACCACAGGGAACAAGCTGTCACATAAACCCATCTCCACCGGCATCTGAAGCAGGCAGGCGTGGGAAAACCTCACTAAAATGTCTATGCTTAGAGGAGAAAAACGTCTCACCCAACGCTATATAAAGCAGATTCGGCTCGTATGCTGATCCTGCACTTGTTAGAGATTTAAAATCGCTTTATTTCAGGCCTGATGTTTTATTCAGTTTAACCTGGTTATTGCTCCTTACACAACCAAACCGAGCTGGGAATTGTTGGAATCAAACTCCTGTTATGGATTTAAAATAAGGGAGAGATGGACTTGATGATGATGATGATGATGATGACATTGAAGCTTGCTTGGGTCCCCAGCAGGCCCGCACCCTGTGTCTGAAACTACCCCTAACTTCTGTGTAACGTGTAAGAATACGAGCGTCTGTCAGCAGGTTATAGGCTGTGGGCTGGGTGACGGTGCTGAAAGCAGAAAACTCACCTTCTCACCCGGTGGTCCGATGGGACCCTGAGGCCCAGGGAGACCCTGCAGGAGAGAGAAGACAGAGGAAGCTGATGGCATGCGATCCACAGGGGAGCGCTCAGGTGCTGTTAACGGTCCCGTCGCTGGAGAGGGGGAAGCGGGTGATGTCCTACAGCCCCACCCGGGGCGAGAACACCATGGTAACCATGGTAACCTGATCCAGCTCTCAACGGGTGCGAGGAAAACCACGGGAGACCAGGGATGGACAATCAGACAGGCGTACAGTGTAACTACTACTCACCTGGGTGCCGGCGATCCCCTGCTGGCCTGGAGGACCCGGCTCTCCTTGAGGTCCCTGCAGGTGACAGGGGACAGCAGACAGGGTTATCAAGCCTGCACTTAATGGTAAGGCTATAAGACAAAGGGACATTCTGCAGCTGTCCTACTGAAACAGGGGCTCAACATTGAAATCCACCAGGAAGGTGACCTGTGGAGCACCTCACACTTTGTACATATGCAGTGTTTTTCAGCGTGGAAAATGCCGGAAAAAATCTGTGCAATCTCTGTGCATCGGGGACCCGCCAAAGTAGAGTGGATATTGTGGTAAACTTTACCCTAGTTGGCAGGAGAGCACCAGCCGCTCAGCCATGATTGTGGCATGGCACAGAGCTGCCATGTGTGAACCCGTGTTTGCGGGTTTTGAGAGCAACACAGGTCACGCTGTCTCTGCTAATTAGTCACACAAACTACAGACGCGAAGGAATATATAGAGATCATTACAGTTTTTCTCATTTGCTAAGACACGCTCAGTGAAACTGGGATTCACTTGATCTTCATCATCACATTCTTAGCACAGGAGAAGTCTTCTCTTTCAAATGCCTTAACACTTTTTCATTTGTTTCACACATTTTTCACACCCTTTGTCAAAACAGTCACCACAGATCTCATTGAAAGATCCCAAACTCCATTGGATTCACTGTGTTGAACAAAAGGAAAACATCTATTAACAGCTGATAGAAAGTACTTGCATAATTATGAATATCCAATGCACCTGTGTGAAACTTGTTTGCACAACTCTTCAATCAGCAATCAGTCTGTACACCTATAAATCAAGGTGTATATCAAGGTTTTTCACTGGGTGCAAGAGAGGATATTGAATGTGATGTGGATGAAGCCAGGTGGCCCCATCGTCAAGGCAGAAGAGACTGAGTATCAATAGTGGCTATTTATTTTTATTTATACTTTATTGTAATAGATTTTATTTTTATTTTCTTAGCATCTGATAGATGTTATTTTGGTTTACATGTATTTTCTGTAATATTTACAGTATTTCAGTTTTCAGCCACAGTTTGAAAAAAAGAATGTCATGAAATCAATAAAATTTGCATCAAAGCATTTCTGATTCTGGATCCAATTCTTTGCAAGAAGTCAAATTTGACACAGCCTATGTAGAAAGATAACAGATGGCACTGGCATGACAGCTATGTAATAGGCTACAATGACAAGCAATGGTGCACTGATTCGCACTGAGCGCTGCATTTTGAATTTTGTTGTCCATTGTGTAATGATTGATTGGAAGAGCTCATACACTTGTTTGCAAGTTGTGTTGTTTGAAGGCAAAATTAGCTTTTGTTTCATATTGTAAATGTTTTGGCATGGTTAGAGCCTTTTGCAAACAAAATGTGCCACTTTGACCATGAGTGCCACTGTTTAGGCCTGTGTGTTAACTGTTTTGTAATTGAGGAGTTTGAGTTGACTGCTGCATGAAAGCAATCAAGAAAAACTGTAAACATTCCATTACTTTTCCTTATGGCCCGATCGATGTGCAGTGTTTAAACTAGCCACAAGGGGCTGATTTCAAACCAAGGCCCTAAGAGTATAGCGGCAGGAGAGGGTGTCTGGGTCACGTGAATGACCGCTCACGGTCATGGTGATTCAATCTGACCATCGGAAGGGCTGAACAAGAACGTACCATATTCCCTTTGGGACCAGGAGGACCATCCACTCCAGCCACACCCTGGGAAAGTCAAACGAGAGAGAGAGAGTGAGAGAGAGAGAGAGAGAGAGAGAGAGAGGCAGAGCAAAGCCCTCAGGTCACAGTCAAACCCTGTGAGCCTCATATCAGGTCTGATTGAAGTAATGTGTAGCTTATGGAGGAGGACAATATACTGTAATGTTACAAATAAGTGAGACAATGTGAAATAAAAAGGGACATACAGGCTGTCCAGGAGGGCCGGAAGGTCCTTTTGGACCGAGCAATCCTCTTGGACCCTGGATGGGGAGGAGAAGGTATTAATGTATAGTATGATATCCATGTATATAAAGCAGAAGGGTCACTTTGTGTGAGGCCTGCTTGTTAAGCTATGCCATCTAGTGGCTGATTAGGCTCAGTGCACATCTTTAAGCACAAGCTGCAGACTTATTCTGGTTAATAATATATTATCATACACTGTCAGTTAAAAATGCTAAGCAAAATTCCCTTAAAAGTTATTTGGGTCAGATAAATAGGAGATTTCCTACCAAGGTCATTAGTTACTATTAACCACCTAGAGATCCCTTCAACAGCCTGAAACTCATAGCGTGACTCTCAGCAAACTATAAAAGCCGGCAGGTGGATGATGCTGGAAGCTGAGGGTGTGGGTTAGGGTTAGGGTTAGGATTAGGGTTGGTGTGGAGACTGCGTGCAGAGACGGGTCTCACGCTTTCTCCCGCTGGACCTCGGGGGCCGATCTCGCCATCTTCTCCCTGCGAACATAGACAGAATCATGCTCCATCACAGAATGAGGATAAACCAGGGCAACAAAGCGCAAAGGCAGCACAGCTACTCACCCTCTGTCCGTCCTCTCCAGACGGTCCGGGGGGACCCTGAGTGCCTGTCTCACCCTGTCAGGCAGGGGGCGATAGTGAGGCAGAGGCAGGAACTGATCGCCGTGCTGTTTATTGTGTCTTAAAACGCAAACCGGGCAGCCCTGTCCCTGCTGTCACTCATAATCACTGTTTATAGGACCCCTGGTGTCCTCTGGTGTCCTGTAATTATCGGGCAGGAGCAGGAACTCAGCACAGCGGTTGGAATTGCCCCCCCTGTGATCTGCAGCCCCGTCCATCTACCCCAGGCGTGTAATTTGGCCCTGAGTGAGCTCACGCTGGTTTCCGCGGGAAAAGTCACCTCATGATCTGCGCAGACGGTTCTTTTCAGTGGAGATGCTGACCATCATCCATAGGTGGGATGTGCATCCTTAAGAATGGTATCAGAGTATGTTTATAGTGTCCTCTGAGGCTGAAAGACAATCTGCTGAAGACAGCAGTCTCCTGGCTAATTAAGGCCCGCAAAGTAACAAGGGCGCCCTCTGTCTGTGTGTGTGAGCAGTACACTAGGATTAACATGCCTGAGCCACGAAATCGCAGGGCAGGGAAACACTGTCAGCACTTACCCTGTGTCCCTTCTCCCCAGGGAGGCCCGGAAGCCCGTCAAAGCCCCTCTCCCCCTGCAAAGGACACACCAGCAGTCAGTTCACACTCCACAGAGCACCTCAGCCATTCTCACGGTGTGCTTTTGATTAAAGTAGAAGGAGATGTTCATGACAGCAGCTGCTTTACACAAGAACATCAGAAACACAGCAGATGATGGGTGATCGTTTCACATGGATGATATTAACCGATCTAAAGATTCCTCTTCGCTATGAGGAAACCCTCCTTGTGTAAAGAAGACTGTCCTTTGTCCTCGTCTCTCACACCACACACGAGGTGCTTCTCGTACCTTGGACCCCAGTTCTCCAGGCATTCCTCTGGCCCCGTCGGCTCCTGAGCGCCCCTACCAGGAAGATGCAAGCGTTTGCTACATTCAGCACATTCCGCATTCTGTTACTTTCCCTTCCCAGCTAATAAGAGGTATTCAAAATAAGCAGTAAACACAGATCCATGAGGAGGAGATTAGTCTGATTCCTACTGCATGGTCGCTATGCTCTTTAACTTAATTGAAGGCCTTGGATTTGAAATCCTGTCCGATGCCTCGACCACTTCTGGCTGACTTCCTGGCACAGCTGGCTGAGCTCCAGATGACCAATCAGCCTGCTATCCATCTGAGGAGGTTCCTCATTCTTCCGGGCATTTCCAGAACGATCCGTTTAGGGCAGCCTGAGCCACTGCTTGTTTGATGGCCAGCTGTCACTTTCGTCACATTTGGCATGTAACTAATGTCTCGTCCCACAGATTTTCTCTACATTGCTGGTCAGTGGCTGGCTCACAGACATGTCGACGCTTTCACCACATGCACACACTCAAGAGGAGGCTGATTTATGCATGCGGACGCCACAAACGTTAGACATACCCTTTTCCCAGGTTTGCCAACTTGACCCAGTGGACCTTGGATTCCCCGTGGACCCTTGAATAGACAGCAGAATGAGTCAAAGACCTTTAAGCCACTTTACTGTCAGTGCATTAGATCTGATTTACTGCACAGTTCAGTGCTGAGATCCAATATAATTAAGAGACACCAATCATCACTGGACTGTACCGCCCCCTAGTGGCAGGGTTCCACTTCTCACCTGCATGCCCGGATCTCCAGATTCACCTTTAAAGCCCGGCACTCCCGGTAGGCCCTGAAGTAACAGATAAAGATCAGTGACGTTCTTCCATATGGGCTCTTCACTCGGCACAGGGGGTCACCGTACGTTTTCTTTGAAGAATTAGTGTCCGCGGGCCGGGATTAAATTGAAGTCAGACGTCTGAGCAGCAGCAGGAACTCAACAGGCTTATCTAAAGGGAAGCTAAAGTGCACTGACTGCAAATAACCGGGCGGCAGGCAGCCACAGATGGGGCTTTTTGGGGAAATAATACACATCGATGAGCTTGTTGCTTTACACCTGGACCTCAAGCTACGTCAGAATCCCGAGCAGCGCGACGAAACCCTGAAGCGCCTCCTGTGTCACAGGACACACGAAATTTCACTCAGATTCCGGAACATACAGACAAGAGGAAGAATATCCATAAAAACAAAAGGGAAAAAGCCGTGTTTTCTGATTAATCACGGTACCACATCTCTAAGATATTTACCATAAAACAAGCACAAAACCACAGTACAGAGACAAATCGACCACTTTGACCAGCTCCATTCACTATGCGGGAGTTCCTCGCAGACACACCATAGAGACCCATTTCCAAAATTTATTCATGCACCAGCGTAAATTCATAGACTGCAATCCGACAGACAGTTACAGTGGTGGATCTGCACTGCACTTTGTGGATGAACTTATCCCCTGAAATCAAACAGCATGTCATTTCATTCTCAAAGGTTGCTGCTGTCCCTCTTACACCTAACTCTGTTTCAGTTACCCAAGGCAGTTATTCCTCTCGCTTTTTTGGGTTCCCTCGGGCTGCCGTAGTAAGCAGAGGTTTCCTTGGCAGTGTGGCTAACTGAGCTTCTAAGCACCACCTGCTGAGGACGTGCTCTACATAGGCTCATCTTCCTCAGAAGAAACATGTGGGCACCACGCTAATATTTTCAGTCTCTTGTCTCCTTGACAACAAACCCCACATGATACTGGGTGACACTGCTCCATGAAAATGGTGACATCAAGAGGTTCTTTTAAGGGCAGGTGACTGATTAGGAGACCTTCAGGGCAAGAGGAACTTACCACAGGCCCAGATCTTCCTGTGAGACCCATCGGACCAGGGGGACCCCTCATGGCCATCTAGAAGAAACAAAAACCGACAGTGACCAATCAAGTAGAAGCTTGCATGGAGGGTCATTCATCTACTACAGGGTTATTCAACTCACGGTCCTCGAGGTCCGAGCACTGCTGGTTTTCCAGCCTTCCTTTACCTGTCAGTCAGGTGTGAAGCCTCTGACCAATCAGAATCAGTAATTATTAAACAACTATCTGGGAGAACTGAAAACAAGGCCTGGATTTGGAATCGAGGTCCAGAGTTGAAGAACCCTGATCTATTGGATGTAGTGCACAGTGATGCTGGTGGACTCAGGTGATAAGATCACAGTACTGTGACCTCTGATCGCGTCTCTAACAGCCCGTTACACCTGTCCACACAGGTGCCCTCCATCCAGAACGTACCCTGGCTTGGGACAGGATGGCTTGTGCCTGGGCCTCCTGGGCAGACACTGCTGGGCCCTTATCGATGTCCCCTCCGAAGCGGAACTGCAAGGTGGGAGATAGGCGTGTCAGTCTGCTCACCCAAACCTTCACGGAAGGTGAACCTGATACGTCCATCAGCATGCAAAGCTTTGTCTGGGTTATCATCAGTACCTGGAAGTCTCTGACTCCACAGCACAGCTGACAGGAGGACTTACCGGGAGCATCAGTATGGTTCCTGGTGGCCCAGGTACACCGTCTGCTCCAGGGAGCCCAGCTCGCCCAGGGGGACCCTGAGAGACACGGTGACAGATCAGTGGGACGCCCCAGGCACCAAGGGAAAGATGCCATATAGAGGGAAACGGGGACTGAAAAATGCTGAGTGGTACCCCTCCCCCTGCCCCCCAACACCCAGTGAGTCAAACGGCTCCCACACAACGTGCAGATCCTGTCTCCTGACGTCCCTTAAACCACCGAAACATCCCACAGACAAATACGAAGATCTGAAAGTAATCAATGGTGTTTCTGGATACATACCACTCCTACTTTCCCCATCCAGTTAAAAGAAGCATTTGTATTTAGTTTGATTTGTTGATGATCTAAGGATCTCGCCTGTTTTCCCTCTAAAGCGCAAACCGGGCTCAGAGCCCCGCGGGACCTGAACCATTAACTTGACGAGTCCATGTCCCTGACTGCTATGCTAGCACCTCCAGATAAAGAAGCCTACTCTGAAGTACAACCCAAAGCAACTAAAGCTCATTTAGTAGGCAGAAATGCAGTATTTCAATCTATGGGCTCCAGGGGGCGTAATAGTTAATGCTGCTGGATGTAATACCAAGAAGGGCACAAAATCTAATTGTTATTCTGTGGGACAATAAAAATAGAAAGTCAAGAATGGACAAAAGAAAATATCCCTAGAAGGACAACATGCAGACCAACTTCTGGTCAACCACAATTCTGTTTCACAGCCAATTAATGCAAGATCCTGAGATGAGTTCCCAGTAAGTTTGTTGTGCGTCTGGCAACTGAGAGCTGCCACATCAGGGAACAATATGTAAAGGGGGCAAGGAGCCGGTGCTGTGATAATCATAACAATGGCCACGAGGTCTGCTCTGCAAGTGGCTCCAGGTTTGCTTTTATTTCCTTCCTCTCACCCAGCCATAGCAGCTCACAGTTCCTCGCAGTCAAAGACCCCACTTAGATACCTCGGATCATAGAGATGCTCCTTTTCACAAGCTTAACCCATGGCAAACCAGCCTACCCGAGGAGGTCAAACGCCGTAGAGGCCTGCATCATTAATGCATGACACCTGCTGACCTTGCAATGGTGAAATGTTTGCAGGACAGTGTGAGAAGCTCTTGCTCCCAGAATGAGGTGATGGTCACAAAGGGAGAAGCCATCTAACCCTTACAAGAAGCTTCTGCAGACATAGTAGGACGGAAAAACCACCTTACCCTGTCACCAGAGTCACCAGCTGAGCCAGGAGGACCCTGTGGACCAGGAGAGCCTGGAAGACCCTGAAGAAAGAGCAGTGAATGAACGTGATGCCGGTCGGCTCCCTGATCCACCCTGCCCGAGGACGAGGGGGAAAGGGACGGGACAGCGGGCGGCCTGCGTTAGCCTTTAACACACTGGCTGCTTTCTTTTAGGGCTGAAGTCATGTGACACTTACTGCGGGGCCTGCTGGTCCTGGGGGGCCTTCAATGAGCATTCCCTGAAAACACAGAGAAGCTATAAATACTCCGAGTGAAGGAACAGGGACACTACACAGGCAAAATGCAGACGCTACCCATTCAAGCGGCGATCACAAGCTTCACGTACAGTTGCTTCACTCAAGAAGCTAAAACAGAGCATATACAGTAGCATGTAAAACAGAGCACCTATAACAGAGTGGTTAAAGCAGCACACATATGACAGCACGTGAATAACAGCATGTATGACAGAGCATGTATGATAGCGCATATATCACAGATCACGTATAGCAGCGCATGACAGTGAATGTATGGCAGGGCGTGTATGCCAAAGTGCTTATAGAATTGCACACATGACAACGTGTATAAAAGCACGCATATAACAGCGTGTCTGACAGGGAACGTTTTGCGCGCATGACAGTGCATGTATGCCAGAGCATGTGTAAAAACATGTATGATAACATACAGCAGTGCATGTATAACACGCTTACAGAAATGTCTCCATGACAGTGCATGTATATCAGCGTGTTAATGACAGAGCTTGTATGGCAGAGCATGTATAAAAGCGCCCATAGCAGCGCGAGTATGACAGCCTGCATAAACCAGCGTTTGTACAAAATTAAATGCCTGTCCCACTCACAGGCTCAACGACGGCCGGTTCCCCCTTCTCGCCCTTTTCTCCGAAATATCTTTCCTCCCCTCCAACCTGCCCACAGAAACACAGAGACAGTCATGACCCGAACCCCCCAGTCCCCAGGGGACATTAACATCAGCATAGCACAGGCTGCAGGCAGGCGCATGTTTAAATGCATGATACACTGGATTTACATCCTGCTTTACTTAGTGTGTGCCATTAAAAAATACATATTACTTTGATGTCTCATGTCAAATTGAATATATTGATTAATATTATTAGTTACACATGTATTTCAGGTTATATGCATTTTCCTACAGGTGTATACTATAATAATTAATGCAGACTTTCCCATTGTAACAATCTAAGAGGACCTGAACACTTCTAGCTGTAAAGATACTGCCGTGGAAAAAATTAAGAGACCACTCTATATTTTTAAACAAATCTTTGGCATTTTTATATCATGGTTTAATTGTGTTCTGCTGGCAGAAGGCTACACTGAGCAGCAAGATGCTTTCAGGTTTAAAATTTCTAAGACAGCAGTACACAAGAATAAGGTGAAGCAGGAGACACTGGGAATGACCAGAAACCAGCCAGGTAAAGGGCGGAAGTGACATTCTAATGCCAGAGATGACTGTTAACTTATCCAACAGAATCGTCATGAATCGGAGGATGACATCAAGTGACCTTCAAAAGGAATGGGAAACATTAAGTGCAGGTGTGACGTGCACTGCTAGGACAGTTCGTATCGGGCTCATAGAAGCAGGACTGAAATCCCATAAAGCAAGGAAGAAGCCCTTCATTAATGAGAAGCAGGGAAGAACCAGGCTGCAGTTTGCAGAAAAATATATGTTATTCACAGACGCACAACCATAAATTGAGAAATGAGTGAAACAAAAAATTGTGCTGTGGTCTCTTATTTTTTCCGCGGCTGTATAATGGCATTCTCATCTATTAAAAATAGAATATATATTATCCTGTTTGACCTAGCAAGTCACTAACTCAACTCTAAAATAACAGAAATAGAAAAAAACATGAATGAAACACATCAAGCAGATATTTTTTGGCATAAATTGTGGTAACTAATGAGGAAATTATGGTTTTTCATTTTTCACCTGTAAAAAAACATTAGTGGTTTTTAAAATGCCATGATAGTGACCACATTCAAAACATGCAAAACAAACAAGACACAAACCGGACTGAAGCAGGTTTCATCTCTTTAATATCACAATTCCAGACACACGACGAAGAAACCCAAACTGGGCATTAGACGGGGTCTTACTGCGGAAGTCAAGGTGGTCCTCATGCCATTAGTAATGTTAGTTTCACTAAAAAGGAGATGAAAATTAGCTTCCATTACCAAAAGTACCTAGATCCTCTAGCCAATCAGACGCTGGGTGAAAACATTCTTAGGGGAAGTGGGAGGAGCTTGGGTGGGGTCGGCTCTTTTTAGCATGAGCCTCCCCTGCCATGGGTGGGGCCCTGTGTCCAGGGAGGCTTGGCGGGAAGTATTACATGTATCGTGTGTATAAGCAGGTGTGTGTGACATGCCTGTATGTCATCATGCAAAGAACCAGTCACACTGTATCCAGGTTGTTACTCAGGCATATTTGTTTTGCAATATTAAAAACCAGAGTGATACATCAGTCTGACTGCGATGGACTAACATCCTGTCCAAGGTGTCCCCTGCCATGTGCTGCCTGGGACAGGCTCCTGGCCCCCCCAGACCCTGTATGGGATTACTGGCCATGGAAGACAAAGGGATGATTGGGTTTCAAAAGCAGACACACAGAGAGGTAGCTGCTGCACTAGTTATAAGATGAAAGCACTGGCATTTCTGGTCTCTCCCAGACAGTGTCAATGGACAGGAAGAACCCATCAAAGAGTGCATCCCAGCATGCAAAGCGGCGCAGCATGTGACCAGCCATGTGTCTATTATTCTGTTGCAGGCCGCGACAGAGATTGGCGCTCACCTTGGTCTCCGTGACGTCGATCTCGGCTGGAACGCCGGGGCCAAACTCGTCGTCATACACAGGCGCAGTGGGTTTGGCTTCACTAATCCCAAACTCATCATACGGCCCGAATTCATACTGCTTATTATCAAACTCCCCGCCATCGTACTCCTTCAGGTCATACTCCTTAAAGTCGTACGTGTGCTCTGCTCTGTTCCGTTCCGGTTCTCCTTGGTCCAGTGTGTCCACCATCCCCGCCACGGCAGTGGGCTCCAGACCCACCTGCTCCGCTTCAGTAAGACCATCATGAAAGTCCTCTTCAGCAGCCTTAGCCTACCCAAGCATGGAGGTCAAAGCGTTGGAAGCGTTGGATTTTAGCTAAGCGGCTAAAGCAGCTTCTAAGTTGTGGGTGATTTATGGGTGACTTATAGCTGCATATATCATTATACAGATGGTAAATCATGGACACAATCTTTAGTTGTACTTTATCAATGAATAAAAATGTAACCAAGCTTTACAACCTAACTTTATGTTAGTGTTTAATCAGCGGGGCTGGAACTGCACACATCCATAATCTTTCATCCTTGACACTATGACGTAAACTGCATAACAATATACCAGTATAATATATAGTCAAATCCCCATACAAGAGATACAGTTACACTCCTTGCTGCCATATTGCTAAATCCATAAATCAGCACTAAAAACTGAAGCAGTGTTGAGCGGTTGTTTGCTTTGGCTTGGACGCAGTGGACACAGTGCAGCGGGTGTAAAAATGTCCTCCGATGGGAAGGGGGCACAGCTCTTGGCCCCAGTTAACATGATGGTAAAGATACCCTGTGGCACTGTGTCCCTCTGGCCTGTGCAATAAGCGCCATAGCCCTGACTCAGCATCAACAGCAAGCACGAGACCTTCAGAAGTACAGAATAAAGCTACAGCAGAAGGCTGAGAAGACACGTCTGAGAGCAGGGAATGGAAGATCTAATAAGCAAACATCAGAGCTAGTTAAGGGTCCGATCTTAGCGAGTGTTAAGGAAGTTACTCACGAAACTAATCCATTAAAGGCAGATGTGGAAAGTTCAGGTCCAGAAAGTACAAATTCTGATCAAGGTTTTGTTTCAACCAACCAGTTGAGTACTCTGTGACTGTGACTCTTTATACTCCACTGGTTGGTTGAAATAAAACCTTGATCAGGATTTGTGCTATCTGGATCTGAACTTTCGACCTCTGTCTGTAATGGACTACTTTTGTGAGTAACTTCCCCAACACTTAGGATCTCAAACAATGAAACCGCTAGAGGTGTATCATAAAAACACAGCCGGGTTAACTGTAATCCAAACATACTGGTTTGGTTTGGTGCCGTATGGTTCTTATTAAAGCACAGAAGTTTACTTTTTCTTAGAATGTAAAAGCAGTTTCCTCCTTTTCCCTGCCATTTCCTGCACCCGTTTTCCTTTGCCATGTTCAGTCGATAATATTCCCTGGTGATTTCACGCCTTCAGAAGCTCGTTTGGTTTCAAACGCTCCTTTGTCCTGCTAGAGAATCCGCTGATTTCCAGGAAACACTAAACACTTCACATTTTATGCTTCTTTATATTCCTGTTTTCTAAGAAGCACCACAACATGACCTTTATTGACGGATAGCTGGGTAAAACTGCGTACATTACAATGGAGCTCTCGGTGAAATGTCACGTTTAAGGCATATCGGAGGCAGACAAACGGGCATGCTCGTGCTGCCAGGCCGGAAACGCTGCCAAACCCAACAGGCTTGGGTGCCGTGTGCTTGCACAGCTGCCTGCAGGACAAGCCGAGTGTCACAGAACCTTCCAGAACAAACGCGTCTTCAGCTCGGCTTCCTCTCTTGTTGCGCCACGAGGCACCTTCCATAAATACCCGCCTGCTGTATTTTAGCGGGCTTCCATATTGTTTTTGGAAGAGGAACAGAGAGGACTAAAAGAACAACAGTGCATACTTTGTCCACTAATATGTGTCCATCCAAAAAAAAAAAAGCATTAAAAGCATTAAAAGACATTAAAAGAGGTCTGGACACTCAGTGGGGTCCTGCAGTAAGGCCTCCATTGCCAGGCATTCAGTGGCTCAAACAAGAAAGAGAGACTGAGGATTAGCGCTGATAAGGTACTGTGCCTCATACTGACCGCAACTCCGAAAGCATATTATACCTCTACAGAATATGCAAATATGGAAAAAACTCAAAAAAAGAACTTTCAAGAAGGTGCAAAAACGGAATACTTCTTTATGGCTGCTTCTCCTTGTCACTCCATTACAACGGTTACCGGCCGTATCTTTCCTAACAATCATTAGCATTAGCAAAACCGGTAATGAAGCCACCTGTTTACCTCGTTCTGTCCGGGGGGGTAGCTGTCTGTCGTTCCGTAGTCAATGTCGCCCTCGGTATAATATTCGCTATCGACATTGTTCACCTGAATCCATGTAACATGGAGAGGGAGAAAACACAAAATGCACATGTCAGGTGATGTACAGAACTGTGCTGATCAGGGAGGCATTAGGGAGACGACATGTCAGCTGCTGTGTCAGAGGAAAGGTATCTGACATCACGTGGTGCACCTAGGCCTTCCTTGGTGAATGGCATTTTTAACTAAAGTTCAAAAACACAGACACACGTTGACAGACCTCACAGACGCACTGATGGGGATGGGGGCGTGAGGGCATGGAGATGGGACATCACAGATACACGTTGACAGACCTCACAGACGCACTGATGGGGATGGGGGCGTGAGGGCATGGAGATGGGACATCACAGACACATCGCCACATCACACAGGGTGATTGATAGCAAGCTGTCACATGCCAAGCCGTTACCTCATGGTCAGAATAAGCCTCTCCTGTGGGGGCAGCTGCCGTCTCAATGCCGCCCCCATCACTGTAGTCATAGGACTCACTGTACAGCATATCGGCAGTGGGGTGCTGGCTCACGAGGAGGGGGGGGGGGGGGATATCAAGCAAGGCAATGTTAGCATTATTAGGCAAAGTTAACTGAAATTCACAGAGAAGGTGGGTTTTGGACAGTCAGCTTGAAGGGCTGGAGAACCTCCAGTCTTCACCAAAGCAGCATCTCCATTAGCCTGCTGTCCACGACCTTCACTGAGCTCAGCATTACTGAATTACTGAGCTCGTGTTAAGGACAACGAGACACAGAGGTGACGGTGGGAGGATGAATGGACCAGTAGTACGTCTGATACAAACGTGAACATTTGTTTTGGTCTGTTTGGACAACAGAATAATGGACACATGACGCGTTCATGAAGTTCACAACAGTTGCAAAGCAGGTGAATAAGCAATATTAGTGTTAACCGCATTTTAACTATGAATAACTCATCAGTGATTATGCATAGATAAAATTTCTCAGATAAAAGATGGGAACCTTATTAAGTGGTTATGCATTTTTGCAATCTGTTGTGTGAATGAACTTCAGGATGCGATACACTCTCAGAAAAATTAATTTTCATTTTAAGTTCAGGTCAGCAAACATTCAGAGCCAACAGACTCTATGCATATTTATGTATATTTGACTTGCTAATGATTTTGAAGCTGTTCTGGATGGCTGCTCAGGACAAGGTGGGGTACATGCTCTGCTAATTAGCAGTATAGTAGCTCCTTCCCAGCTGAAGCTAGATGACCGTCCTGCATGTGCTGTGTCACGGCAGGCGGGGCTGTTAAAATCCCGAGATCTGCCCCCCTGGCCGGCTGCCACCGACATGTCTGAGCAGATTCATGTGGCTGTGGGGGCTGGGGGACTGACTGACTGTTTCATTCATGCCATCACTGGCCTTACAGGTCTCACCTCAAGGATGCTAGCAGGCTACAGGAAAACACAGAATCGACACGCTTTTGCATATCACAGCTTAAAATGCATCATAGCTGCCAAGGGTCGCTGACTTTTCAGTTCTGTTTGGTAAATTGTACTGTACAAAAATTACAGGTTCTGCAGCAGAAATCTTCAAAAAAACAATTAACACCAAGGCTGGTTTGCAGTGAGTGATGGCAAAAATGCATAAAAACCTTCCAGTGCAATCTCATGGATCACTGGGCAAACGAGCATCCGGATCGTGACACATCATACAGGAAATGATGTAAAGAGTTTTGATCCAGTAAGAATGCTGATGTAAACCTCATATTATACGGGACAGAAACATGGCCCAATAGCAGTAAAGCCATTTCCATTCAGACCGAACAGCTTATAAGAAGCTAGGTGTTGCTAAGCTAACAGGTCCAGTGCAGCTCGGAAGAACCTGCATTTCAATATGAACCCACGTTTCTCTCAGGCACTCACCTCGTCCTCGGGCTCCTGGGCTTGGGGGCGGTCCCGGTGGGGGGTGTCGCAGTCGGGACTGTAGTGGACACAGTACTCATCAGCTGCCCTAGGATCATCCACAATCAGCAGCTGCTGAATGTCACCCTGAAAACCACAGATCCAAACGTTCACTCCTTAATGGCAACATACGATAACTTCAAAGAGACGCTGAGTACAAGCGCCCAGGGGTTTTAGGACAGCGTGGCTGAGACGGGGCAGGTTTATTAGCCGAATTACAAGCAGGTGGCTGATCGCCACGGAAACCTCAGAACAGAACTGCATCGTAAACACACGCAAGTCTTTGGCTGACGTGCAAGTTTTCAGCTTATTTTTAAAAGTGTGGCCAAATTAAGTAACATACACAAACTTCTGGAAGATCACAGGGCACGGATAACGTGGAGAACCTCGGAGTAACCGCAGCAGCATTTCGCGAGAGACAGAAAGCTGAAACCTTGGCATGAACATACAGTCGGCCAGTGCATCTACAGTATGTGGATGAAAGCGGAGAGACAGCGGTGCACGGTGGCTGTGCTCAGCTGCGGCATTCAGTGTTCCTGGGGGGATTTTACGGCACTGTAACGTTCCATGTTGATGTTTAAGGGGGCCGGTGTTGTCTCAACCCCCCACAAAAAAAGGCATGCGATGAAGGACTCTGTAAACACCAATGGGGGCATGCCACCCCCCCAGATCTACAGCTGTGCATGATGGGATAAAACACAGGCTGTAAGGAACACAGGGCTTGTCGTTGAATGAGGGAGAGATAAATGAGGAGAGCAGGAACAGCAATGTTTCAGGCCACTTCTGGAGCCGCCGTCTTCTCGGATTCAGTGCCGGTTGTATAGTAAACATAAATACCGACAGCCAGACGCGGATAAAGCTATTTATCATGGAAGAAAGGGACTGAGGCTTCCTCAGGGCCTAAAGAGGCAGAAGGTGATCATCACGATACAGCCAAGGATGAAGATGCCTGCTTTCTGAACAGAATGGGATTTAATCCCAAGATTCAATTCTCACAAATCACATAGTGTGAGCATAAATATGTGTTCTTCACTCGACCTGGAACAAGCCCTCAATACTGAAGGTTAAAATAGTTAAAACTAAACTGACAAAATTCGGTGGGATTCTTCAAATCAGCATTCCATACTAAACCTCAGCAGGTTAATCCGTGTCAGTTTTATAGACTTATGATGAATATAATCACTCTCAAGGCTGCGAAACAGAGCCAAAGCGCCAATTATTTTACAGCAGAGCTCTGCCCTGAGAATGGTGACACCTGACAGTTTATAAGGTTTCTGCAAACCTCCCCGGCATTCCTACAGGGCCGTGAAACAATTCCACGGATTGATGGACCTCTGGCTGGTAAAGAAGCCCCAGGGAGAGTTACTCGAGCTGCCCGATCCTGCGCTGGTCCATTCGGCTTCACAGGCACGCGGCTCTGAAAGGCAGGCATGGTACTTCACACAAGGGGGGGACGGGATGGGGCAGGAATCAACATGTTGGAAGCTCTCTGAGGGGCTGGGGTTTAAATGCCAGACTAGATCTTCTTAAAAATCGTAGGCCTGGATAAGGTCACTCCTCTAAGGGACTGAATGACCAGCTGCACGTTTCCTGGACGGAGACCTTTTTACAACACTGCTGCTGTGCAGGAGATGGTCTGCCTCTGACTTAATAGACTGTGAAAATGCTGGCTGGCCCAGCGACCATGTGCCAGGTCTCCAAGGGGCTCCTGGGATATTAGGAAGATCAAGCCCGAGCCTGAATCGAGCTGACAGGCGTTACCTCATCCATCACATTCACCCCCCTCCTCCAAAAAAATGCATTTTAATCAGCCCTGCCTGCAGCCTGCGGATCTGCAGACGGCCTGCGACGGTCTACGTGCAGGATGAGAAGCTGTGTGGGGGTTCAGACCCCCCCAGCAGGCCTGAAATGTTTCTCATAAATATTACAAATAAAACATTCAGTATATACATGAAAAAATGACACCAAATGCATTCTAATGTGAGATCAATGTTCAGTCTGAGAGTGTGTGTAAGTTCAAAAGGTATGTAAAGAGAGTGTGCATGTTTGTCTTGGGTGGGGGGGGGAGCATGCGCACACATGCATACTGTACAGAGCCAGGAGCCACTGGGGGGAGGGACATCTCAGAATCAAATCTCTATGACACCTCAAAAAAAAGGTTTTATAAATAAAAAACAGTGGGTATGTGCAATATTAGGACTTCAGTTACTTCTGTTGTGAGATTAGCAACCTGAATGGACCAGGAGATGTGCTTAAAACAGTCTGTCATGCATTACCTGGCTAATCAAAGATGGACCTTCTCCCTTTAATGGTCGAACAAGCATCCGCCCTATTTCCCTGCTTAATTACAGAGCTGAATGTTTAACACTAAAGCAGGCGGCCGCTTTCATGTCCACCTGCCCGGGGCCACGTGTCAGACGCTGCTCAGAGTCACCTGGCCCCCCGAACGCTCAGTCAGTGATCTGCTTTCAAGGGGCCACGCACTGGTGTTAATCACGTAATTAATCATATCCTGAATCTCAAGAGGACTAAGCACTTTTTACAAAAGTAATTTCCCTTCATTGAGTCTCATAACTTCATTTCAATAAAAATGAATGCAAAGACAACAGTAAACAAAAAGAACTGAATCTTATAGGAGTGAAATATTCACATGATCTGAACTGAAGTATATAAACGTGATGTTTTCAGAAAACCATGATGGTAAATGAAAGCAGCGTTAAAAGCCAGCCACACCAAGGCTCTCCAAGCTGCAGAACACCTCACTGTAGTCCCACAATTACTAAGGCTTCCAGTGGGCAGATTCCACAGAGCTAAGTGGTTTTAATTATAGGGTGAAGAAGCTCATTAGGACAGGAAATGGAAGGAAAACCTGTCTGCAGGGGGGGGGGGTAACAGTGAGGAAGTCCAGCTGCTGGTGCCCTCAGGAAGCTCCTGATTAGCTCCAAAAGTTTCCTTGCATTGTCAGCTGTCAGGTGAGAATTCAGTCAGTCTGTATTTAATTGACATTGTCTTTGTAACATGATGGACAGTCAAGGAACTGAAAGGCTTGGACCTTACTGCTTTGACTTTCCTCACCATCTAGATATTTGGCCATACCTCAATGGCGTCTTCATCATCTAGATATCTGGCCATACCTCAATGGCATCTTCATCATCTACATATCTGGCCAAACCTCAAAGATGTCCTCATCATCTAGATATCTGGCCATACCTCAAAGATGTCCTCATCATCTACATATCTGACCATACCTCAATGGCGTCTTCATCATCTAGATATTTGGCCATACCTCAATGGCATCTT